TTTGGTATGAGAGTTTTATAGAGATGAAAAAAAAGATATATGTAAAGATATTTTAGTTAAATGCTACAGGGTGTTCAAAATTTATTTATGAATTTCAACTAATTAAAATTAAAAAATCTCAATTTTTTTAAACGGTACACCCTATATATTTTCATTTTTTCTGATAGATTTTGCAAAGCTCTTCAACTTTTATTAAATATGTCATATACCTATTTTTAATAGTTTGCTATTTATTCCAATTTTTTCTATTTGTACCCATATTTTTAATACAATTACGCTATAACATCATAGTTACCGTGACAAAACAATAATATTTAGTACTTATCTTTAACAAGTAGATTAATAATTAGTTACAATTGTTATTATTAGCTAAAATTAATTAACTTTACTCAAATAAACTCAAATCGTAGTCGTGAATTTCTTGGCGTCTATATTTGTCTATATTATGAAAGATGACCCTTGGATTTTCCGTAGGGACGAATAGCCACAGATTAGAGTAATACTAGATTACCTAATTGTTGACGACTACTGATATAGGAATTTTCTTCGACACACAGTAAAGTTTTTTTTCTCTAGCAGTTCTGGTTTATAATTCATTTCGTAAAGTGCGGCTAAATGGCCCAGCAGCTGATGCGGCTTATATAAAATCCTTCTTCTTCTTCTTCATTTCGAAAAGCCAATATTTTTGCCGCGAAACCGTCCCATTATACACTTACTGAAAATACTATAATATAATATAATATGAAAATGTTTTCTAGATAATCTACATCTATTATTATAATACTTAGCAAAGTACTATATAACCATATAGTACTGAACCAAAAAATATGTTTATGTTGGTTTGTTCGTGTATATTAGTCACATTGACTAATTCATTTTCGGGAAAATCTGTAATTATTATCTCTACCTCTACCATTTATATTTATTACAACAAATAAATTAAAATTCACGTTTTGTTCTTAACTTGCTTAACAGCATAGATAAATGAAACAAGTTTAGATTGGAAAGTGCTCATAAGAACAATGTAAACACTATTTGGCGCTATTCTTGCAACGGTCGCGACCCAAAACTTTTGAAAATTTCGGAGCGGTTCGGCTTTTTCCGGAATTATATCGCCAAATATTGTTTATTCAAATTTATTATTATTTTGGTTTAATTTTATAAATAAAATACAGTGTGTTGCATACAAGAAACTTTATTTTATATAAGGACGCATGTATGAAATACCTATGAAACATTGGAAACCGACGTTATGCCACAATCCACGATGGTTTTGCAGTTCACAGTTCTCAGCACAGCTTTTTAAGTTTATAATGCCACTTTTTCACAAATGGCCCAGCAGCTGATGCGGAGTAAATAAACTTGAATTAAACTCACAAGATAGCAATAATTACTTTGAAAATGGACGCTATAGACACTGAAAATACGGAATTAATTTAATGATAGCGGTTTAGATTTTGATAGATTATTATGATTTTAGCAAAGATTATAACCTTTGACTGAGAGAAAATTATGTTTATGTTGGTTTGCCGTTGTTCTTAGCACACCGCTATAGCATTTTCGCCAGATCTGCGTATAATCGGTCGCGATACAAAATATATTTCGCGACCCAAAATTTTTACGGGCTTTCATCTAAACTTGTTGCATTTATTCTTGCTTAACAGACATGACAGCTATTTTAATAATTATTATTTTTTGTCATGGTAACTATGATGTTATAGCGTAATTATTGTATTAAAGATACGGGTAAAAATAGAAAAAATTGGAATAAATCGCAAACTATTAAAAATAGGTATATGACATACTTAACAAAAATTGAAGAGCTTTGCTAAATCTATCAGAAAAAAATGAAAATATATAGGGTGTGCCATTTAAAAAAATTGAGATTTTTTAATTTTAAATAGTTGAAATTCATAAATATATTTTGAACACCCTGTAGCATTTAACTAAAATATCTTTACATATATCCTTTTTTTCATCTCTATAAAACTCTCATACCAAATTTTAGTATTCCAACTTCAGAAACAATGGTACAACTGACAATTTTGTACCACACTGCAATTTAACATTTGTTTAAACAGATTTAAATATTACAAAAACTATTAATTTTAGGTATATAACATTATACATAAAAAAGTTATGGAATTTTACGCAGAACCTGAAAATGAAATAAAAAAGAGGGTGTTGCATTTAAAAAAAACATATTTTATATCCGCCACACTTTTTTGAAGCACCCTGTATACTCTATAATAATTTTAAAATGTGTATCTTAACCTTCCCTATAACTTTTATATTTAACATTTTTTTGTAATCCTCGAAACAACTGAGATAATGGACTTTACTCTATCGTTGACTCACCCTGTACAATATCCAAGTAATTTTAGCAAATTGCTTTCTCACTCCAAATCACTAGTTGCAGAAACAACTTGTCAGTATTAATGTCAGTAACATGTTCTGTAGAAACTGTTGTTCTATCTTTTAAGTAGTCCTTGTACTACTACATAAACGTGGAAAATTTGCAGCACCATTGAGCAACTTCTTCTAATAAGGCCACTAATATTTCCGAAATATTAAAGACAGCTATTGGCCACCCCTGTACAGGGTGTCTAATTTCTGTGTGTTTTATGGTGTTTCTTGTTTACGAATACAGATACAAATATGCAGTTTTCATATCATTATGCTACATTTTTATGAATCTAAAGATGCTACACACCTATTTCATACCGCTAAAATACATATTATTTACTTAGAATTAATATACTCGTAGATCTATCATCCGGCATCTACAGCCAGAATGGGATCAGATCCATCAGTATCAGTGATAAACACCAATCTACAAGTTCATGGTGTTGCCAAATTGAGAGTTGTTTGCAGTAGTTCGATGCCCGAGTTGAATTCTGGACATCCTTCAGCACCTGTAGTCATGATAGCTGAGAAAGCCTCAGATATAATTAAAAAGTATTACGGAAAACTGTGATAAATAAATATTATGTTTATTTAAGTTATTAAAAAGATTGTTTTATTTCATTTGTGTGTGACACATATAAAAAAAAGTAAAAAAATTCTGTCTGTCTTTTCTGAATTTTCTGATATTGGATCCATTAGCATCTCTGTATATTGTTGCCTTATCCAAGTCTTAGGAGATTCACGGTTAAAGGCTTCTATACAGGCGGGTGTCAGAAATAAGTGTAAGGACTGGTAGTATATTTCGACCCCAGAACGCAAATGGTCTCGACAACAAAACTGTGATTGAATATATTGAGCTTACATCGTTATGTATGAAACAAAATTGTTTTCAATTTAATAACAACTTTATTGAACAGCGAGAAGGTACAGCAATGGGTAATCCATTGTCTCCATTTTTGGCTAATTTATTCATGAGCAGGTTTGAAGTGGAGGCTAAGAATCAGTTTGAGTATTTTCCAAGAGTATGGTTTAGGAAGGGTTTAGGTATGTGGATGATATTTTTGCTGTTTTTGACACACATTTAGACACCATAGATAATTTTATTTCTAAGTTAAATAATCGTTTTCCTTCCATTAAATTTACGCATGAAATTGAGAACAACGACAGATTACCATTTCTAGATGTATTAGTTATTAGAAATAATAATAATTGCCTGGAATTTGATATCTATAGGAAAAATGCCACTACACGCAGATATATTCCTAATGAATCATATCATAGTGTTGAACATAAAATGGCTAGTTTTCCACTTTCCAGCGAAAGATATGAAATAGAAAGAGATTACATTGGGAGTATAGCTGAGTGTAATGGATATTCTCCTTCACTAGTTGATAAAATAATTAGAAAACGTAGGTATAGGTTAATGATTTCTGAAAATTCGACTTTTCAAGTGGAGAAAGATACGTCAAAATATTTATCAATACCGTTTGATAGAGAGTTATCCCGTAGTCTAAAAGGAATTTTTAAGAATGTCAATTATAAACTTGTGTATAGTGCTAATAATAAATTACAACAATAATTAGGTAATCCAAAGGATAAAACACCTCCACTGGAAAGGTCGGGTATTTATGAAATTTCTTGTAAAGATTGTAATCAGAAATATGTTAGGCAAACTAGAAGATCAATATTAACTAGATTTAAAGAACATCTAGCTCAGATATGATGTTGCCGAACATATTGTTGATAAAGAACATTGTATAGATCTTAATAATTTAAAATTAATTAAACAAGTCTCAAATTACAGGCAATTAGATGCATATGAAAGCATCAGAATTAATAAATGTAAAGATAGTATGAACAGAGACAACGGTCCAATTCCTTCAAGTTCTTTGTTCCTACTACTCTAATGGCGGAAATTTAACTGTTACGCTCGGTGGGCTCTGATTCGGTTGGCTAGGCCCACTGAGCGAGTATATAAACGCTCAACTTGTAGATTGTATTTTAGTTTATAATCATCTGCTGATGATGCTAACATAGTTATCGAAACGCGCGTCCAGTGTAACAGTAAAAGTGTTTTGGTGTATTGTGGTGATTTAGTGTTTCTATTTTGCTGTGTAACACCAAAGGTTCCAACCCTCAACTGTAATAAAAGAAATATATTTAATTAGTATTTTTAAAATAAACATAAAATTACGGAGATTCTTTGTCAACGTCATGTTTAGTGTAGTATTAAAAATAAATTAAGTGATCTGCTGGACATGACGTCATATGACGCAATATTTTTTTTCAAAATAATTTTTTTAGAAAAAAAAACTGGTTCTAGAGCTATTTGTTTCATTTCTTTACATATAAAAATGAACGATTTATCAAGGTGACAATTTTGACACACCCTATATTTCTTCAGTGATAAACCTTAAGATCTAAGGATTAAACCAAAAATGGACCAAGTACGTGATATAACGTTACTGTCCGCGAACGTGTTAATGTAAATATTTATGAGCCGTTTATCACTAGCCATATTTTTTTATCAGCTAATCAAATAAGTGTGCAGGTAACTAGGCAATTAGAATAATTAGTATTATCACTTTCTTTAGTGCACTCCATATATTAAAATTTTAACTATAAACAAAAGCATATTAACTAGTCAACTGCATCATCGAGAAATATCATGTACCGGGAGTTATATTTAGTTTATTGTGTACTTCTAGTGAGCATCTTCTCTCATGGTAATTTGTTTTTCTTTCTTTTTTCTTTAATTTAAAGTAAAAGTAAAGCCTTTTTACCGGCTTAGTGAGTGTCAAAATTGACTAAAAGGGTGGCATAATATAAGGTGTTCTAGTGTTTCTCCACAGAATCTGCATTCGCCCCTCTTTCTTAGCTTCAATCTACTGAAGTGTTCGCTGAGGAGACAGTGTCCTGTTGAAAATCCCGTGAATCCGAAGATTGTTCTTACTTCTTCCTTTTACAGTACTATACACTATACAGAGCGTCGGCTACCTCTCGCATGTACTTGGTGTGTGGTGTGTGACATTAGTGTTTCACAAGTTCACGGGACCTACAGTTTATCGCCGAATCCGAACGGCACTATTTGAGAGGCTGTACAAGGCAAATATACTCAAGGTGGTTTGCCATTGCCTTCCTTGAGGTGGCGGCTCGCTGGTCGCTCTATTCAGATAAATAAATATTTTTATTTAAATAAATAAAGCTGCTGTACTTTGCGATGGGAACTATCGAATGAATTAGACTATCGAATGGTTACTGAATGAATGATTTCAACTATCGAATGGTTTTATTCGAATAAAATCATTCATTCATTTTTATACTAAAGCATATGTGACAACCTCGCCGTGCGACTAAATGGTTATCGTTCAGCCGCGACTATCGAATGCTTTTGATAAATGAAATTTAGTATTCGTTTGATTTTTGTATGCGTCAGTGCATTATTAGTTCTTCTAAATTTTTATAACTTCGCCTTATAAATACTGTGCTATCTTTGCGTTTATTAAAATTTCTAAAATACTAAAATAGTAGTTTTTTTTAATTGACGATTGTGTGCTTGTGCAGGTGGTCAAAATTTTTCCGAAAATTTGTGTGATTTTCCGTAGCCAGATCTTTCAATTATTTAGTTTTATATGGTATATGGTCTACTTTTTAATGGTAAATTTTGAGAAGTAGCAATTTTTAAGAGAGATGAGATGAACTTACAATTAATTTTAAAAATATATATTTGTATTTTAGATGTTTTAATAATATGAATTAGTTGAACTTAATAATCATATTTAAGTAATGTGGTAGTAAAAAGTAAGAAAGTAAATGGTTATCGAACTCAAACTATGGGGTGAGAAAATTAAATTGTTAAAAGTTTTACACGTGCCAATTTAAAAAAAAGTTAACGATGTTTGTATTTTGTTTATGCTAATTCTCTTACATGTAGTTTTTTGCGAAGAAATATTTAATTTATTTTTTAAAGTAAAGGCCAGTAAAAGTAAATATTATTTTTAAATAGTAATATAAAGTGCCTAATATAAATAATTTTGATTTCTAATTTTTTATTTGTATTTTCCTTCCATTACACTGCATGCTTAGAAAATGAATTAATGTTTATATTTCATGATTTTAAAATTTGTTGTTAGTATAACAAATTAGTTCTGTAATTATTATTATTTAATAAACCAACGTTGCCACACAAAAAATTTAGAGACTGTATTATTTTTAAATGGGATCTAATATAAATAATTTTGACATCTAATTTGTTGTTTATATTTTGCTACTACTTAAAAAATGTTTATATTAAATGAATTTAAATTTTGTTGTTAATAGGTATAACAAATTATTACTGTTATTATTATTTATTAAACCATGCAGTCTTTGCTTAAAAACATTAAAAATAATTTTCCTGCATCCAAAATAACAAGTATTATTGCAGTATAACAACAGACTATTACTAAAAAAATGCAAAATATATAGACACACTATCCCTAACTAACTAAAGCCAAAAAATAATATTCTTTCCTAATATCAACTAATACCAATATATGGCAAGAGCGCCCTTCATAATGTATTTTCTGTGTAAATACTAGCACCTCAATAAAAAAAAATGTATCCTTATCTTTATCTGACTCGGCAAAAAATCAAAGATGCCGGCTTCTTTCATAGCATTGCCACCGACCGCTGTCGGGTTTCTCGGAAAGAAACCTACGTCGCCGGGCGACAACTAAAATCCAGTTAATATTTTATTATAATCGATCCTGACGAATAAATGAATTTTATAAATGAATGGTTTTTGCTGCCGAATTACTAGAATACAATATTTCAAGGCAGATGACGCATCTATTCGATAATTTTTATTCGAATAGTTTTCAACGAATGTTTTCTTACTAGCTATCGAATTATTCAAATGAATTGCAACTATCGAATGTTTCAATAGTATTCATTCGATAGTTCCCACTACTAGCTGTACTGGCTGGGGATCGAATCCAGTACCTCTCGCTCCGCAGATAGGCACACTACTGCTGTAACTACGGCCGGCCACTGTTACCTAAACCAAGGAAAATCTTTGATTTTTCTCGGTTGTAAGTTCTGAGAAATTTCTTCGAGTGTCTTAGACCGTTCCATTATTAGAGGATTTCCATTCCAGGTTGCTGATGTAATCTTCCAGGTTTTTGAGTTGATTTCCACTTGGGAAGAAGAACGGTTCTGGTCCAGTTAGTGGGAGTGTTCGCTCCCTTTTTAGCTAGATCGATTTTTTCATTACCTTTTATTACTTAATGGGCTGGCACCCAGTATAGGAAGACTTTGTTATCTTTGCTTAATTTGTTCAGCTTCTCTAGGCATCCTTTTTGTAAGAAATTTATTGTATTTCCTAAAAAATAGCCCTTCTCCATTGAGTATTTTGTTTTTGACGTCGGGTTCTATATTATTTATTAACGAGTACCTATATAAAAACAAACTTTAGAGAGATATATTTAGAATGAGTGGGAGGGGGGTTAATCACTGCGACCTTACAGATCTATTATGTATTGTGTCCCCCTTTCTTGAGTTATAACTCATCATACAGTCCCAGCGCTTTGACAAAAGCCAGTATAACTGGGACGGTTTTATAGAGGGTAGTTCTCCATCTCCAATATTAGTCGTACCAAAGTTCATGGCACGAATGATTGTCGTCTCGGCGCACTCAGTGATGAGGTGTACTAGTGTTTCCCCATTTTCCCCACAGAATCTGCATTCGCCGTTTCTTCTTAGTTTCAATCTACTGATGTGTTCATTGAGGAGACTGAGAGATTGTTCTTACTTAAATCCAGGAAGATCTTTGATTTTTCTTGATCGTAAGCCCTCAGAAAGTTTTTCGAGTGTTTTAAACCGTTGCAAGATTCCCATTCCAGGTTGCGGATGGAATCTTCCAAGTTCTTGAGTTCCGCCTTGAGTTGGTTACCACTTGGAAAGCAGAACGGTTCTGGTCCAGTTAGTGACGTGTTCGCTCCTTTTCTAGCTAGATCATTTGCTTTTTCATTGCCTTCTATCCCTTGGTGAGCAGGCACCCAGTGTAGGAGGACTTTGTTTTCTTTGCCTAATTTTTTCAGCTTCTCTATGCATTCTTTGACCAATTTCGAATTGATTGATACTGAATTGATCGCTTTTAACGCTGCTTGACTATCAGATAAGATGGCTATTTCTTGTTTCCGATATTTCCTATCTAAGATATGTTGTACGCATCTTTCGATAGCGTAGATTTCTGCCTGTAGGATGCTAGGGTAGGTGCCCATTGGTTCGGAGTAGAGAGATATATTAAAAATATAAATACAGTACTCATAGAATTTGGTTTTAGTTTCCTTTATCAATCAAGTCTTATGTAGCTCGTCTCAATCGTCTCAATCTGTGCCTCTCAATCTATATAACCTTGGGTTCATATAGTCAAAGGTCTCAATAGATTTTACACTCTTGCCGTTGAATAATAAATATAACAATAAAAGTTGTTCCACAAAGTTTTGTGAGACAGATGATAATTATTTTAGACCACGATTTAATTGATTATTACGTTTTTTCAGAGACTTTTAAACCAAGACAATACGAAAACTTTGAAGAGTTCTATAATATGGTACAAAGTAATATTTCTGCTGCTCAAAATTATGTGATTCCAAAAGATAATTACGACTTGGTCAAAACAGTAAATTCAACGACAGTTGGTAAGTTTGAGCTTCAAAGAAATACCATAGATATACCAGATGTGTCACCACAGTTGTTCAATAACAAATTTTTGTATTCATTATATTTTTAAGTTTTATTTTATGTGATTTATTGTAAAAAAGTCTGTCAGACAAAACTGTGAGATGGAATGCAATATTTGTATTAGTAAATAATACCCATAGGAATTTCTTTTGGAGTGATATTTTTTTTATCTCTGCTTTTTTTCGGAAAATACTATTCCTACTATTTTTGTAATTTTTCTAGAGTATGGTACGTATGATTTCATCATTATTGGAGCTGGTGCAGCAGGTGCAGTAGTAGCCAACAGATTGTCCGAAATTCACAGTTGGAAAATCCTGCTTTTAGATGCAGGAGGGGATTATGATGATTTCAACAAAATAATTGGCCTGCTTCTTTACGAGACGTTTTCTCCGAAGACATGGGGCTACAATACAACGGTTCAAAAAAACGGATGCTTAGGTAAAAATAAATCAGGGGGTGTCTCACTGTTGGAATCACATGTACCGGGTGGCCAACGAAGAATGGACGCCGGATGTAACTCAGAAACTACTTGTCGTATAACTTTGGGAAAAAAATTCTAATAAGTAAATCGACCAAGAGAAATCGCTGGAAATTATTTTCAAGTTCGAATTTTAAAAAAGATGACGTCACAAATTTTTAAACGTGTTTATGTAACATTATCGTCCACATAATTTTTACTAATATCTTGGTTAATTACGAGCCCTAACAACTATATTATGTTGGGACAAGGTCATATTTTGGAATTATTGCCCTGGTTTTTCAAAATGACTGAAAAATATATGTTAGATTTTTTAAATATAAACCGGCATATATCCTAAACAACTTGATAATATTTTTATGAATTTATAAATCAATCCATATTTACAGTAGCGGATTTTGTTCATAAAAGAACAAATTTGCTGACATCTAAATGTTGGGACAAGTATTTTTAAATAATTAATATCATCATAGGCGGCTTGTCTACAAACGTCACAAATGTCGCAAACTGGTTACTTCAGCATTGACAGCTTGTAAGTGACTCGATACTTTGAGTAGTGAGATTTACTGTAAGTAATTTTAATTTTTTTAATTTTCAATTTTTGTTAATTTATTTCAAAAGTAATGGTCCGTGGAAAGCTACAAATCAAAAACTACGCGAAATTATCATTCGTCAATACAGTACGGGAAAAACAATTCGAAAAATTTCTGATGATTTAAGTTCCAAAAACCACGGTCTTTAATATAATAAAAAAATACGGCGAATCTGCCAATGTAGACGTTAGAGGTAAAAGTTCGGGAAGGCCAAAAGTTGTATCTCAGAGAGATTTACGAAATTTAGCAAAAATTTGCAAGTCTGCCAGAAGAAGTACTCTTCGCGAAGTAACAGTTAAATGGAATACTGTAACTGGTTTAATTATATCAAGAGAATGTTGCCGAAAATATATCCATAAATGCGGTCTGGGGTTTTACAAGGTAAACTGTATTTTGTGTGGATAATCAATTATCTGAAGACTATTGATACAAATTCTTATTTAGGCCAAAGAAAAACCGCTACTGACAGAAATTCAAAAGAAAATTCGCTAAAATTGAGCAAAATTTAAATTATCGTGGACACAAAATGATTGGCATAAGGTCATATTTAGCGATGAGTCTAAATTTGATGTTTGCGTTGGAGATCTACGAAAACGAATAATACGAAATAAAGCAGAAGTTTTTCATAAAGATTGCTTAAAGAGGGTTGTTAAATTTCCTAAGGGAATTATGGTTTGGGGTTGCACGTCAGCAAGAGGTTTGGACAAATTCAATTTTATAGATGGTACTGTTAACGCCCAAAAATATGAACATATACTTGAGAACTCACTTTTGCCTAGTGCTCAAGAATTGTTTCCAAACGAAGACTATATTTTCCAACAAGATGGAGCATCGTGCCATTCAGCAAAATCAACTAAAAATTGGTTAATAATAATATAAAAGTTTTATCCCATCCTGCAGGTAGTCCGGACCTCAATGTTATAGAAACTGTGTGGCATAAAATGGAGCAATTTTAAGAAACCATCCTCAACAAACAATTTTTGATTTGCGGACAAAACTGCAGGAAATTTGGGATAATTTTTCTCCTCAAATGTGCCAATCTTTGGTAAATACAATGCATTTAGAGTTCAGGCAGTTGTTAAGGCGAAAGGTGATGTAACTCCGTATTAAACAAATTTCTTGTTGTGCTGTCCCAATATATAGTTGTCAGCAAATTTGGCTTGATTTTGTCAAAATCAGCTATTATCAAAAGTGATTTGTTTGCAAAGTTATAAACATATAGTAAAATTGTCTAGATCATATTGTAATGTTTGAGTTTAGAACACTAAACAAAATAAATTGAGTCGTTTTAACAAATTACTATTTTTATTGCAAAAAAAGATCTTGTTCCAACATATAGTTGTTAGGGCTCGTATACGTAGGTAGTTCTCAGATTAAAATGTTCGAAAGTCGGACAATCAATAATTTTATTAAAATTTCTAGGAATTTTGTGCAGCCATATTGCTTTTAACAGAAAAGGGCCAAATTTCGTATGGCCGAAAACTAGGGGTTTATTTCATGTAACGTCATTTAGCTATTAATCCAAGTTCGTACTGTTGTTTGAGTTATTTATTATTGTATTATAAAGTTTATGTCGTTTGGGTCACTTTTTATATAGCCCCGAAGATGCGAATGTTAACAATATGAACTACTGGTCCAAATCTACCCTGGATGCAAGTAGTTCAGCACCAAGGCCGTTGGTCGGTGCATGTTTAGGCAGGAATTCTAGGATGGCGAATGATTATCTGAATGAAATGAACTATAATTTCTAAGAGATGAATTGCCAATTTTGTTAGGGGATCCATCATGATGAAAATGCATTTGTTGCAATTTCATCAGCATGGATGCAGTTGGTGTAGATAATGCAGTTTGGTGCAGTTGTGTCGCATATTTTGCTATGAAAAGTGTGGAGCTTCTTTCTTGGATACCACTTACTTTACTAGATAGAGACGCTGGAGCGGCATATTTCCATGGCTAGCTAGGTCATCGGATTCAATATGCCTGGGTTTTAATTTATGGGGTCGAATCAAGAACGAACATGGAAAAATAACAATTAAATGATTTTAAAATGGAATTAAAATATATGTTTTGATATTTTAACGTAACCAATTTACCAATTTTTTTGTTTCCTAGCCTACTACCACAGAATATCTAGCTACGCAACAGAAAAATACTCGAAATGAAAGAGCTAAAATTGCACAAATAAAGTACTAGATGGCGCAACAATATCATAATCAGAATATAATTGGAAATTTTCAACTTTCGGTTTTGGATCGACGTAGATCGACGGCACGTCGACGGCCTTGAAGCTCGGCAAAATATGCACAGTTGCCAGATTCAAACAGACTTTAATTGGGATCCCATTCTTTTTCTGGTGTATAATAATTTCTTTCTATTCTTCGTTTCTTGTCAGATACACTTATATTAATTATTCGTTTGGCTTTTAAAATTAGAATAAATTACCTAATAAAAATAAAAAAATAAATTAGAAAACATATGCTCTCAAAATACATTTTTAATAACACTACTTTATTATGTTAACGAAGAAAATAACTTTAATTACCTTTAAAATTAATAATATACAGGGTGTTTGATAGTGATATTTATTAATGCTGAAACGTTAGTAATGAAATATACGTTTAATAATAATGGAAATGATTTATTAAAATGCAGTACAAAAAATGTTAATTGACTAAAAAAATTCTATAATAACAAATTTTTTCTGTTTGCCATGTTATTTATATAGACCTAAGTAGATTTTAAAAAGTGACACAGGTACAATTAATAATATATTAGTTCGGCATAAAATTTGCTGTCACCGACATAGTATAATAAATTAAAATTCGTAAAATAAATTAAAATTTTTAATTAAACAAATCTTTATAAAGAAACACAAGTATATCAAATTTGGGCCCAATCGAACGCCAGGAAATGGTATCGTAATATGGTACTACATTATGGTACCCCTTGATACGCTTCATGGTACCATAATATTGTAATGTCATCAAAAATACGCAAGTATAGTCAAATATGAGCTCAATCGAACGTCAGGAAGTGGTATCGTAATATGGTACTATATTAAGGTACCACTTTATATGCATCATAGTACCATCATATTAAAATGTCACCGAAGATACTTATACTATACCAAGTATAAGTCCAATCGCACGCCAGGAAATGGTATCGTATATGGTATTATTATGGTACCTCTTGATATGCTTCATGGTACCATAATATTACAATGTCACTGAAGATACGTAATATAAATATGCCAAGTTTAAGCCCAATCGAACGCTATGTATCGTAATATGGTACTATATTACGGTATAACTTGATATGGTACCATATTAAGTTTCATGGTACCATAATATTGCAATGTCATGAAAAATACGCAAGTATATATCAAATACCGTATGATACCGAAAAAAACGGCGTCCAATTGGCTGGGAAAAGACGATCGATGACATTTCCCATATAAATTTACACATAAAATGACAGCGGTTTTCATTTCATAGCAATCGCTAACGCCATTTTTTCCCGATCTTACGGTATGAACACAATTGAATGTCAGAAAGTGGTGTCATAATAGTAGAACAATACTTATTATATTGTCGCCGAATTACAATCAAAATTTAGGATTCAGTTAGAATCAAACGTCAGGAAGTGATTTTAATTCAGCTCGTAAGATTTAACTCCAACTAACATGGCAAGTTAAATACTTAAACGTTTGAAAAAAGAGCTCTAATCAATTTTTAATATGTTTTAAATGATGTAGCAAATTTGAACGTAGGCTTTATCAGGAAGTATTACAATATAAATTACACAATGGCAACACTGCATAAAATTCTTTTAAATTTCGTTTGTAGAAAACTGTTTTCTTTTAAATTTATCGCCCTCTGTTATGTAGTAGTGAAACTACCGCATCAAAATATCCTTAGAAAATATCTGATTTGGAGACAGGCTTTAAAAGTCTGTCTCCTTTTGAGACCTACGATTTTTTACATGTAACGAGGCCTCTGTTGCGTAGCTAGATATTCTGTGCTACTACTATAATTTTTAAACTATATAATCCTAAGCGGCAGCCTCACATAATTTATTCTCTTAATATCTCCGGTTAGAGACATGAAAGAAAATTGCGGTTTGCGCTGATATTTTGGAAATTTCGTGCTCTATTTAACTGTGTAAAGAGAAATATAGCCTCCTATTTAATTTTTTTATGCAAAAGCGCAATATCTGTTATGATGTCAAACAGCGCCCTCTAGCTACCACGAAAAAAATTGTGGAGATAAAATTTATACTGGAGATCATTAAGGAAGAAAAGCTCTTTTAAACGAGCCCTAGTTTGTTTAAATCGGATAACCCTAACCAGAGTTATCCTTATTCTAATAAAAGCAAGTTTAACCTTCCCCCACCACTTTATTTTATGAGATAGAGCAAAACACTCTATATCAAAAAAATTACAAATTTCTCGGTGATTACAATAGTAATATTTAAAATACCTGTTCACCTGCATATTTTTGAGAAAAACACTGTTTTCTGATTGGCTATCAACAAAACGCCCCCTAGCGGACATTTTTCGAACTTGAAAATAATTTCTAGCGATTTCTCTTGGTCGATTTACTTATTAGAATTTTTTTCCAAAAGTTATACGATAAGTACTTTCTGAGATACAGCCGGCGTCCATTCTTAGTTGGCCACCCGGTACATACATTTTCTTGGCAGTCGTTGCCATCAGTTTTACGGCAGACTGTAATTATATGGCAAATATAGGCTTGGTGCATTCTCCGCCGTTGCTGCCATCATCGGGGAATATCGTAAACAACCGGCATATACAAATACACGGATTTAAATAGCGAGTATACGAAGAATTTATTAAATTATAATTCTTGGTGTTAGGAAGTGTAATTTGTAAAAATTCTGAAAATAAAAATAGAAAAATAAATATTTTGATATCTACGGAAGGTCTAACTTGGTATTATAATTTATTATTCCAGCTAATTAAACTTTTTAGATGACTTCAACTACGGTAGTTAGCATAGCTTCACGCACTGATTTTGCTATCGGAGACATAACTGGAGCTATTTCGGTTATAACGATTTTTCCATATTATATTTTTCCATATATATTATATTCGATTGTCCATAAAAAATTAAGCACTAGTTGATTAAAACAAGTATACCATTAATATTGCAAATTATAATTTATCCTCTCATAGTATATGCCTATTTAATTTTTTGTTTATGTAATGGGCACTTTGTTTACTCACTTGTTTCGTTGAACTTATTGAATCCAGTTTTGCTTTTGATCAAATCAGTCTGAGAAGTTGTGAAGCTATAAAATGTTGTTTCGGATATCCGGAAAAGTTGAGTTATTGAATGTTATTGCACCCAACAACCACGTAATTACGCCCTCCTTCCAAGTGTTAACATTGGAATGAACATTTGAAATTGTCACAAACCAAAGGGACGCCCAGTTTGTGTTCTTTTTCACTTCAGAAACAAGTTCACACAGTTTTTCAGAAAACCTCGTACTCGTGTTTTATAGTTTCAATACCTGCTCTATTAAAACTAAAATACTTAAAATATCATGACAAAGCCACGATTTTCATATTATCTCAATGCGATCAACATCGGAAATACAGAGCGAAAACTTCTGATTTCTGCCGTATTGAGCGTTGCGGTCGGATCTTTAAAATCAACTGAAATGCACCAAGCCTATAGGAAGTTCAAAGTTGTTTAAAGCAAATTTTTAATGTATTTATGTAAAATGTTTGATGTGTAAAAGTTAAAATAATATTCCGCATATAAAAGTTATAAAATGTAATGTTCAGTTTAATAGATTTGGCGGGTGTGCACGTGTTGTGTGTGTGTAATAAACACACCGGAAAAGTCTAGGGATATTACAATTTTATCCAGCCATCGTCAGTAATTTTATTATATGCATTTCTGATATAAAATTAAAATTAAACATAAATAGTTTACAGGACGTATTGGAAATGAAAAATGCAGAAATTTACTGAATTTTTCAAATTTACCTTGATTTTTATTGAACTCAAAAAATACACACATTTTTTTTTTATTCTAAACTGTGAATTAAAAAAAAAAAGATAAAACCATTTTTTACTTAATAAAGGGTATGGCCTCCTCTACTGTTCATTACAGCCCTACATTGTCTCTCCATGCTCCTGATAGGTTGTCGATCTCTTCTTGAGGTACAGCCTGCCACGCTGCATTCACGGCCCGAACCAGATCCCTACGAGTTTCACGAGGCATACGCATTCCCAAAATTCTTCTTTGGACCGCGTCCCATACGTGCTCGATGAGGTTGAGGTCAGGAGATTGTGCCGGCCAGGGTAAGATGTTTAATTGATGAGCATTGATAAACTCACTTACCACTCTGGCTGTATGAGGCCGTGCATTGTCATGCATGAAAATGAAGTTTCTCCCAAAATCATTAGCATAGGTCATAGGTAACAGGACAGGCTCAAGAATTAAATCACGATATGTGATTCCTGTTAGAAACCTTTCAAGAAAAACGAGATCGGTTTTTCGGCCTAACTGGACTCCTCCCAAGACCATAACTGTTCCACCTTGATAAGGGTGCACTTCCTGAACATGATCTAACCGAATAAGATTTCCCGGTTCTCTCCATACCCTAAGTCTTTTCGAATCCGGATGAATTCCAAAGCGTGACTCATCCGTGAAGAGAACATTGGCCCATTGTTCATTCGACCACTGAACATGATCTTGAGCCCACAAATATCGTACTTCTCGATTTCCTCTCGTTAAGGGTTGAGCTCTCCAGGGGCGTCTACTTCTTAAGTTGACCTCTCTTAATCTATTGTGAACAGTGTCAGGACTAACGGTTACATTATGTGTTTCCTGGAGAATTAAACTAAGCTCTGGTGCTGTAAGAGTCGGTCGGCGTCGATCATTTAATTGTAAAAAATGATCTTCCTGAGGGGTAGTAATGCGATGTCGCCCTGTGTGCCTTTCTGCAACATCACCACTTTCACGGTAGCGTGCACTTAATCGCGATATTACACCTTGCCTTGTATTTAATGCTCTAGCTACGTTGATTTGGCGCATTCCAGCTTCGAGCATACCCATGGCCCTTAGCATTTCGTCTCTGTTAAGATGTCTACGCTCCATAATGTAGTTTAATACTAAACAGAGTTATTTGAATGAATTCTGGCCAGTTATCATAAAAAACATAGCCAGTACAGGTTAAATTCGAACAATTGATGGTAGGTGCTTTTTATACATTTGACAAAAAATGCACAAACACTTCTGCAAATATCCCAAATTTAGAAATAACTAGTGTGACTACTTCGTTTCAATCGAAGTAGAAAGAATCGGCCTACAAATATTGGTTATTTATTCCAAAACATTTATTTTAACTTTAATAAAATGATATCCCTAGATTTTGCCGGTGTGTGTATATGTTGAATATAAAATACTGTTATGAGTAAGCGCTATATCAAAATATTTATGCATTACAACCACAGGTTATAACTGTTGAAGGGAAACGACTGAAAAATATTTCGTATTATGGCGAAAAAAGTGCTGCTAATTTTTCATTATTTAGAGTCTCCATTATTTCAGTTTACTAAACTGAAAAAGGGTATTTAATATAACAGACGTTGCACTATACCTAATAGTAATCTACGATGATTAAACAATCTACAGTGATTAATTTAAGTCTTCTTTTTTCGAAATTTAAAAATGTCAACTTATAACTTACAGAATGTGGATAACTTAGGAGGTGGCAACATTGCATTCTCTCGCAAATATATAAACAAACAAATTTCACGAAACTGAACAAGCCGTACTCAAAAGTTTTTTAATATTTTCCGGTAAATGTCAAGAAAAATATTAAATTTTCAACATTTTTTTTTCGCAAAAAAACTCATGGGCGTGTTTCTGGGGTCAAACTGTACTACCAGTTAATACTTGCACTTAATAACAATAATACTTGCACTTATTTCTGGAATTATGGGATCAGTAGATGATTAAAACTCAAAATCAGTTTTAATCATCTGCTAATGATGCCAACATGGTTAGCAAAACACACGTCCAGTGCAAAAGAAAAGTGTTTTGTGGTATTGTGCTAAATTAGTGTCCTATTTTGCAGGGTTTGATATTTAAAATAAGAATGTTGGTATACACCCTGTATAAAAATATTTTGCTGCAGAAAAGACGCAAACATGTGACAGCGTTTACTTATTATCAAATTTATTACATTTACACGAATACACATTAAAATATAATGTTTTGTCAGGAATGAAGAATCAACGATGTTTTTTGCCTCAAGCAAAAGTTATTGGAGGTGGAACAACTGTCAACGGTGCTGTTTATGCCAGAGGACATCCAGAAGACTTTAACAGATGGGTCAGTATTTATTTTTATAAATTTATACTATACTTTTTTATAACACTATTTGCTTAGTTGCAAAATGCTTAAAAATCACCAAAATGGGTCTACTACTGGTGGTCAGTGTATTTGTATTTCAGATTTAATAAAAATATTTTTTTATATTCGTAAACTAGAAGCAGGTTCTATTTCAAACTTACAGACATCTTTGTCTACAGGGAGGTTCAGTTTTTAGTAGCAGGGCTTTAACAGATTATAGAAACAATTTCTTGTTTATAGGTATTTGTTTACAATAATTCTGGATGGTCTTACGACGAAGTACTGCCGTACTTTAAGAAGTCAGAAAAAGCTGTGTTTGAACCTAGAGATAGATTTTATCATGGCGACAATGGATATGTTACTATCAGTCAGCCTCCAGTTACTTCAAATTTGGTATGTATTTTTGGAAAATTTTTATATCTATAAAAATGTAAATGTCAAATTATACATGAAAATATATAAAAATAACGAACTGTTTGTTGACAAATCTTAGATTGCCCATTTTTTTAAAATAATCCTTATGAACTTTATATATTTTTTTATAATAATAGAATAGCAGTATTTAGATATTTTAAATATATTTTTTTCTTCTTTGTCTTTTTGCTTCTGTTACGTTAAGTAGTTTTTATCTTTTACGCAAATTTCTTTTACTGGTAAAAAACCAATGACAAGATTTTGACAGATTTAGTTATGTAGATGTAGAGAAGCCAGTATCTTAGACGGTTTTACAGAGGTTAGTTCTCCATCTCCGATATCAGCCGTACCAAAGTTTATTGAATGAATGGTTGCCGTCTCGGTGCACTCAGTGATGTGGTGTTTCCCCATTTTTTCAACAGAATCTCCATTCGCCGTTGTTTCTTAGTTTCAATCTACTGAGTTCATTGAGGAGACTGTCCTGTTAAAAATTCCGTGACAATCCGAAGATTGTTCTTAAATCCAGGAAAATCTTTGATTTTTCTCGGTTCTAAACCCTGAGAAATTTTTTTGAAGACCGTTGGAGGATTCCTATTTCAAGTTAGGGTCCAAACATAGTGAGCATTGCATCATGATGCTAGCCGCAATGCATCCTATGCGCACGTTATAAGTACTGTTTTAAAGACGACGAGTAAAGCCGGAGTCTCATGCATCCGAAATCCGATGGTACGACATCCGAAATTTGAAGTTATCCTGTGAAATAAAAAAAGCCTGTCACATACATCCGAAAGTTCGTTCCGAAAATTTTACAGTTTTGACATTTAGACCTGCCATTCCTATCAACAGTATCAACCTAATTACATGTATTATTGGAGAAACACTTATAAAAATAACTTCCTCGCCAAATATCCCGAAATTGCGCACTTCCCGCTAAACTTGTTTTTAAAAACGAATGTTTTCAAAAAAGTGAGGTTAAAAAACACACGATATCGTACAAAAGTTAAACAAAATTTAACTTCATACGACGTCGGACGATCAGTTAAAAATATCGGATAAAAATTGGTGTCAAAATATTTGGACCAATAGGAGCACCGTCGGATCGTCGTGTCATCGGATTTCGGATGCATGAGACTCCGGCTTTACACTCCGTCTTACGCTCCGCGCGCCAGTTCAAATCGTCAAGATATTGTTATAAACCTGTTTTTTTGTTTATATACCGTCATTGAATTATCGCTAAGCAAGTTACTGTGGAGCAGTGCGTAAGGAGTCGGGCCAAGAAGCGAGAGACCGGAGTTCGAATCTCGGCCGGGCCATAACTTTTTATTTATTTTTTTAACTACTGTTGTATTCTATAGTTTATTTTTGTAGTATAAAAAAAGGAACTATTTATTCTGTTATTTTTTAATCTCCGTTATTAATATAAATTGATTGTTGGTACAATACCTCATTTAATATAAAATAATATTCTACTTTTTGAAATGTATCGGGCCCTAATTGTACCTAAAAGTAATATATTTGACAGGCTTTTTTTATTTCACAGGATAACTTCAAATTTCGGATGTCGTACCATCGAATTTCGGATGCATGGGACTCCGGCTTAAAGCTTGATTTTCATGCATCCGTTGTCCGACGATACGTTGACACGATATTAATTTTATTGGTAGAATTTAAAGACTTTGATGGGTTAAAAAATAATGCAGTTTTTAAATTTATTGCATTTTCATGCCTCCGTTTATCGGATATACGTTGGTTTATTTGATATTTTAGTTTCCATAACGATTTTTCTATTTTACTTATATTTTTATTAAGGTTAAATTAAATTTGTCAAAAAAGTGTCAAAACGTCCGTTATCGTATGAACGAATCCGTTAACGGCGGCTGAAGTAAAATATTTACGGATGAAAAGTGGCGCGAGAACGCTATGACCAATCAGAGCACCGTCGGACCATCGTATCAACGTATAACGGATGCATGAAAATCAAGCTTAAGTGTGCGTAGGATGCATCGCGGCTAGCATCATGATAAAATGCTCATTATGTTTGGACCCTTACGGATGGAGTCTTCCAGTTCTGCTTTAAGTTGGAAAGCAAAATGTTTCTGGTCCCATTATTGGAGTGTTCTCTCCTTTTCTAGCTAGATCGTGTTTTGTTCATCTTCTCTAAGCATTCTTTGATCAACTTTGAATTGATGGTTATTGAGTTATTCGCTCTTAAGGCTGCTTGACTATAGGATCAGAAGCCTATTTCTTGTTTCCGATAGTTCATATCTAAGATTAGTTGAACGCACCTTTCGATAGCGTAGATATCTGCTTGAAGGACGCGGGGGTATAGGCCCATTGGTTTGGAGTATTTAATTTTTGATCCAAATATTCCTATCCTTGTTAATATATCTGTTCCACAGTAGTTTACTGTCCAGTGTTATTCCCAGATATTTGATTTCCAGTGACAGCATTATTTCTGTTTTCTTTTTCATCTAGTGTGGTTCTTTTCGGGTATTTCAGACCGTTCGTTCTTCTGAATGGCACAGTTGCGGCCGACAGTCCTGCACCATCTCTCAGTGATACCGAGCCCTCTTTGCATAATATTACACAGGGTGCTTTCATAAGGTTTTTATGACACTAATGGTTGTATTTGCATTTGAAGGAAACTAATTTTTAACCATAGATTCGTTAATCTTATAAATCTTAGTTCATTAAAGTTTCTTAACTAAATACATCTGTTATACTCTACTGATTTTAACAAACCCCATTACTAAAGAATAGCAGAATCTTTGAATATAATCTGAAATAAAAAGTACATATCAAAGAAAATAAACTCAATGAAACCTAATGGAATCGTTTAAATCCCCGAAATTTTCGTTCATTTCTTCGAACATGCAAATGTTAAAAATCTATTTAGCAGTAAAGTGGTAAATTTACCTCCTTATGTTATGTATGAAATGGCGATCGCAGGTTTAGGACCAGGAAATAAACAACTTTTTATTTAAAAAATTGCGGACGTTTCGACGTGTATTTTGGTCTTTATCAAGTCTATTTAGCAGTATTGAACGTTTCGTATATTCCCCTTCATCCTTTTTCCTATTTCCAGCCGGCGGAGTTAATTCGGCTCAAGTGCTCCTGCTCTCTGGAATAGGCCCGGAAAAGCATTTGAGGGAGGTAAACGTACCGTTGGTTAAAAACCTGCCTGTGGGAGAGTATTTGCAGGACCATGTCATGTTTATCGGCTTGGCAATCAGGTAAGATCAGACAGATCATACGGAACGATCAACAATCATTAAAACAGTTGGATACCTCTGGTGAGTATGGCACTGTAGGAAGATCACTAGCGTCAAACTAAACTAGGGTTGCCAACCGTCCTCTATTCCAGAGGACAGTCCACTTTTTGATCTCACTCTCCTCTTTTCTCTCACGTATTGAAAAGGACCTTTTTTTTACATACCAAACTCAAAATCTTAAAAAGATTCGTCTATTGCCACAATGCAATGCTTTAAAAATTTGTTAATCTGCGTCTTTCGCTACTCCCACTCGTTTGTATAGAAAAGAAAATGAAGCTGAACCATTTTATGTTTACTGACTGTTAGCTTATGTTTTGAAGAATATTTTTTGTTGAAAACGGTTTATTTAACAAGTTTTAAGTATCAATTATTTTTAAGAAAGTAAGAAAGATCATCAATCGTATATACCGTTTACATAACTTTTTGATAAATCCTAGACATTTGGGCGATGTTTCAAAAAATGTTTTGCCTGTGTGACTCTTTTTTACTCCCCAAGTAGCATTTTCACGACTTGCGACCACATGTTTACTAATCACAACGTTGGATTAGTTACAAAAAATAGTTAGCTCCCTACCTTGGGTATTAAAATAAATTTTAAAGTTTTTATAACGTTGTGCCGACGTTGGACTAGTACTACAGCAAAGTAGGAAGCTTCTGCGACGTCGAATAAACGTTGTCTTGTAACCTTTTTTGCTTAAGTGATCTTTAGGTGATTCGGACAACGTAGTTACAACGTTGGACAATATAGCGTTTTCCGACGTCAGTTTCAGGACCTATTCCAACGTTATGCAAACGTCGTCTGTTTTACTAATTCCAACGTTGTTTAGATTTCCTTATTCTTACGTTGGTAGGACGTCGAGTCACTACCTTTTTGCAACTGTATTGAACCATAACCTTAAATTTTAAATTTTCACTTCATTGTTCTGTTCAGTCAGACAGTTCAGTACTGTTTTTGTTTTTATAAAAAAAAACTTAATTAAAATGGGACATAAGAAAGGTACATATAAAACTAAATTTAAATATACATCGACATATATTACCGATAGTTTATCCACTCCTTCGTTTATTTATATTATAGAGGGCGGCACAAGCTAGACTCTAGGATGACTAAATTAGGCAATCTTGCGACTAGTATACTACCTGTTAAGGCCGAACTGCGAGTTTATTAGTCCAGTATGCGACTACTCGAACTACTCCATCTTAATCTCCAAAACAACAAAGTGAAAGCCGCCATGTTGTTAAATAAGAAAATGTTTTGTTCCTAAAATAGCAATTCCTGCTTTTTGAATACATTAACTTGAGATATTTGACCCTAAAAAACACGCGGAAACAATTTTTTCGACTGCGAATAAATTATTCTCATTTTACTAAAAAAAAAAATTCAAGAAAATTTTTAAAACTTCTTTAATTTTAAGGCCCATTAGTATTTTTCAAAGTAGAAACAATACATTTATCAATAAAGTTGTTTGCGTTTAACTTTTTTGCCTTGGGTAACGAGTTACAAAGTCGGTTAAAGTGTTTCAATAATTATGATCTTCAAACATCCTCCACACTTAAATACTTTGGTTTTGTTTTCCTTCACTGCCATCTGACATATGTCTCTAACTAAATCATAAAAGTAATATTTTTACTATAATTATCCCAATTTAGGATAAAACGCGACTTAGACGCCATATTAGTTGTGTATTTCTGTGAATTAGGATTTTAAACAACGTTGCAGTTTGTACTAAATTAGGCTTCTAGCCAACGTCGGTATCCAACGTCGTTTCGACCCAAAAATTATTCTCCAAACTAGTCCAGACTAGGGTTGGCACGAGGTTGTGCCGACGTTGCGCCCCGACGTTTGGTCGCGTGACACAACGTTGTCCCGACGTCCAAATGCTGCTTGGGCCTACTTACTCATTCTCTATTTTTTATTTTGAAAGTTGGCAACTCTACACTAAACCAATAATTATAACTTTTTTATTTCAATTTTTGACGATATTTAAATTGGTTTTCCATAACAATGTGAGACCAATCAAAACGAGATGAGGAATAAATGGACTTAATCTAAAGGTTTTCTAATTTAATTATTGAATAAGTGTATTAAAAAAGTATTGATTAGTGCTAGTTACATAATTTTTTCCCAAATTGATGTAAACCCAAGTCGGCCTAAATTTGACCCAAGTCTTGACTATACAAGATAAAAGTCTATAGGTGGCTTTGATAAAAAACAACTGAGTGATTAGTGGTAGAGTTAAAGCGCGTTTACACGGGGAGTTAAGTGAATTAATCAAGTCACTTGAATTCACTTCAGTCAATTTGCAATATGACTCTCTAAACTCGACAAATCATGTCTATTGACTAAGGAATTTGATTGAAGTCTCAATTGACTATTGTTTAACTTTTTACGTTCCAGTGGTATTTTTAAAATGGCGCAAGTAGGTGGTCAGAAGAAAATTCTTTAAAATATATATGAAAAATATGAGTTTTTATGGAACACATAGAATCCAAAATACAAAATTAGTTAAAAAAGAATAATGTCTAGATTAAGTCTGTAAGTTAATCTGAGGAGAAATAGCATTACACATTAATGTATCTTGTTTTTTAGTTATTTTTTATATAACATAGGTGCAATTTTTTTCAAAATTTAAATTGGTTTGCAATTCTTTTTATAATCTCTAGGATCTTTCTAACCGTAGCCCAGATAATAAAGTATTAGACCCACCATAAGAAGTTCTGCGGCTAATCCATTTTCGGACTCATGAATTTATTTCTCTTTTACGTCTTGTTTTTTTTACGTTTCTGTTAATTATGTTGCCATAAGTTTAGCAGTTTGAAGTACAGGGTGGTTGAAATTGATCTGTTTTAACAGAAAAAAAACTATTTCCTGACTAGATAGAGCAAAACCGACATAGATGTCATGGGCTCGATTTCTGAGACACGTTTAATTACATAAACCGCCTGTTGGTATTTTCACTACCAAGTGAGAAGTGAGTCTTTTTGAATTTTTGACCATTTTGAAAATTGTCCATAACTTTTTTATTTCTCGGAATAATAAAATTTTGTAAAAACGTTCTTAAGGCTCTTTTTTAAGCACAATCCAATGGCGTAGTTTTTTCTATACTTATTCTTTTTGTCAGAAATAGTAAAAAATATAATTTTTTAATGAAATCATAGTTGGCTATGTATAAGTAAAAATATGCTGGCATTTAACCCTTTCCAACGATATAAAGTTATGGATATCTATTCATAAGATTACATATTATTACATATTTATATATAATAGTATATATTATTATATTAATTTTATGTATTATATATATAGTATACATATTATTTTTTCATATTTTTCCTAACAAAACCAACTGTTTCATTGGTAAAATACTCAGCATTTCTAAATACGTTTTCTATTTATAGGACCAACGTCATTTTTTACAATGACACTTTAAGAGAACTTTTAATGAGGTATAGAAGAAATCAGCGACCCTTGATTTCATTATTCGACAGTATTGCTTTTACAAATATCGACAAAGATACTAAAAAACGGCCGGATATTGAATATCTTGTGACAGTTCCGCAAAATCTAACAGACAGGGCTTCGATATACAGCAGGTATAGTATTTTTATGTTTTATAATTTTAGAGAAATAGTCTACATATACCGGTTGCGGTATTCCAGTAGCACAGCACGTGCTCTATGGTTTCTTCTTCCTCTCCAAAAAAAAAACTTAACTTTGTTGAATATTTTAATCGTTATGATATCACATATCTACTAAACCGACATTGTTCGAAAGTATCCGTATCTATCTGGTCAATTTTTTCGTTTCCGCTGCACTCATTGATTTGAAATGTAAATTATTTTTTGTCTTTATTTTGTTATGATATTTAAAATATTTTTATCGATAGCCTTAACGATGAATACTTGGCTGCTATAAAAATCAACACTACAAGTGACTTGATAATGTTGACGATATTGATGCATCCGAAATCACGTGGTACGGTGAAACTTCAATCCAACAGTCCCTTGGATGTGCCCTTGATCGATCCTAACTACTTGGCTGAAGAAGAGGATATCGAAAAGTTGTACCAGGCAGTGAAATTTATTGTGAACTTGAACAATACCGAGGCATTTAGGAAGCACGGAGCACAAGTGGTGGCATTTGACTATCCAAATTGTGAAACATTTAAGAAATTTAGTAAGGGTTGGTGGCAGTGTGCCATAAGACATATGAGTACTACGGTAAGATTTCTTTTGATTATTTTTTTTATTTGCGCCTTTTTGCTTAACTTTTAATATCGTATTCTACTTATTTCCTTCCAGCATTTATGTTTCACAATGTTGTTTTTGTAGTTCTTATCACTAGCATCAAATATTGGCATGTTGCCCTTTACTAATTCAATAAACAATTCGTTTTTTTTCTTTGTTGAATTTACTCATGGCGCATGGTATTTACGCGACGTCCGTACGCTACAAATGCTCAAAAATGAATAATGACGCAGCCGTCACATCTTGAAGCCACGTCCAGCTGTTGAACGCCGCGTTCAACATGAAAGCGAGACCGCATGTATCCATTTTACACTGTAGCATATACAGGGTTGTTCACCACATACGACACGGAGTATTGTAGCTAAACGATTAGATTTTTACAAATTGTAAGTTTTGGGTTTGTTGAAGGTCTGTTAGAGCTACAATTTAAAAATATTTTTACAAGATACAGAGTGTCTCAAATAAGTAAAAAATATTATAGTTGTATTTTTTTAAATGGAACACCCTGTATATTATTCTATTTTTGGATTCTACGATTGAAATAAAGGTAAATTTTATTAAGGTTTATCACACTTAAACCTTGCCGTTTTTGAAATATTTTCAATTTTATGAAATTGCAGTAAAAATTTTAAGGCTTTACTTCTCCTAGGGTATCAAAGTTTTTAATACTAAATATTTACTGAAGATTATTTATTGATCAGATATTGTGTTGCAATAATAAAAAATTTTACTACCTTATACAGAGTGTCCAAAAATTTATATTAAATAATTACTAGCTTTTAAACGGCAATAACTTGTTTCATTTAAATGGAACACCCCTATATATTTTACGTGAATCAGATGCATAATGTAATTGTCTATCAAATTGTATTATACCATTTTTACCCATCTCTTCAAGTTTTCGTAGAAATTGCATTTTGTTATAATTTAGACCTCATTTATCACTATACCCATGGAATATTGACATTTCAGATTTTTTATAGCACCATAATATGTACAAAATGTACAGGTGGTAAATATTGCATGCCCATTGGCATACAAAAACTATTTAAATCTTTGTAAAGAGTATACCAATTAAATATACCACCATTATTTCCTACTAAAAACACCAAAAATTAGTTAATTACATACTTTTAAATTGTTTTAATTAATAAATTATTCTAAATAAATGTGGATTTGGCTCAGAAATCAATATAATAATAAGTTATGAAAATGAATGTCTCTGTTTTTATAAATAAGCATTCGTCAATAAATGAAATAAAAATTATATAAGGTGTTACTTTTTACCACACTGTGTAATACACACACACAAAATTCAGTTTTTAGTATTTGGAACAATTATTACTACAACGTAAACAGTCAATTAATGTAGTTTGAATACTGGGATCATATTAATTGGTCCTCTTTAACAAAAAATATTTAAACAGTTTTTTTATTTTTTTAATTAAATAAGCGAACTATATCAACAATATTAGTATATGTACCCTTTGAAAATTTGTTTACATCTTTAAAAATAAGCTAAAATGTCAATATTCCATGGGTATAGTGATAAATGATGTCTAAACTATAAGAAAATGCATTTTCTATGAAAACTTGAAGAGATGGGTAAAAATGGAACAATACAATTTGATAGACAATTACATTATGTATCTGATTCACGTAAAATATATAGGATGTTCCATTTAAAATTAAACAAGTTATTGCCGTTTAAAGCTAGTAATTATTTAATAAAAATTTTGGACACTCTGTATTGGAGTCGTAAAATTTTATTATTACCACTATATATGACCAATAAATAATCTTCAGTAAATATTTAGTATTAAAACTTATACCCCTTGGAGAAATAAAGCCTTAAATTTTCTGCAATTTCATAAAATTGAAAATATTCAAAAACAATAAGGTTTTAAGTGTGAACTTAATCAAATTTATCTTTATTTCAATCGTAGAATCAAAATTGTTCTATTTAAAAAAATACAAGTATAATATTTTTTACTTATTTGGGACACTCTGTATCTTGTGAAAATATTTTTAAATTGTAGCTTTAATAGTCCTTCAACGAACCCAAAACTTACAATTTGTAAAAATCTAATCGTTTAGCTACAATACTCCGTGTCGTATGTGGTGAACAACCCTGTAGACGCTGCGTATAGCGTGACGCTGTATGCGGCCTACAGCGTTTATTGGAGACCAGTGCCTGAGATACACATTACTTATTTAGAATTAATATACTCGTAGGTCTATCATCCATCGTCTACCGCCAGAATGGGATCAGATCCATCAGTATCAGTGATAAACACTAATCTACAAGTGCACGGCATTTCCAAACTGAGAGTTATTTGCAGTAGTTCGATGCCTGAGGTGAATACTGGACATCCCTCAGCGCCCATAATCATGATAGCTGAGAAAGCCTCAGATATAATTAAAAAATATTACGGAAAATTGTGATAAAATAAATATTATATTTAAATTATTAAAGAAATTGTTTTATTACATTTTTTGCTTGTCACAAATTAAAAAAAGAAAGGTGTAAAAAATGGTGTCTGTGATGGATGTAATGGTTAGTAGAAATAGTATTAGCACTGTTCTAATATTTAAGGGGGTAATTCTTAAACCCATTCTAAGAAAGACATTTTAAATGAATGTTTCCTAAAGGCGGATTGACACAGTCCAAGTCAGTGATGCCATTACCAAAATTTCATTTTCGGTAAATAGCTTCGTCAGATATCGGTAGAAATCGGTAGATTGGTTATTTAACACTTTAACACATATTTTTATTAAGACGTGCTAAGAGTAAGTCGTTTTTGGGGTATAAAAAGATACTTGAAAAATACAAACAATACAAAATTGTATATTAAAGATGAATACGGAGCAAAAAACTCTTTAGTAAATTAATAAATATCGTTTTAGTCCCAAAAAATTAGAATTTTTTCTATGGACGCTCTTGCAAAGTCCCTCCAAGTATACAGTGTGATTCGCTAAGTATGCAACTGTTAAGTCTCAAATGAAGGAAAAGCCGGCTTCACTCTTTATTTACTCTTACGTATGTACAGTATAAACTTTTTATGCAACTAATTACAATAATAAAACATTATGCGATGACACGAGATAAGTCTATATCACACTCACTTCTTGACGCTTTTCTTCTTTTTTGTTTTCCTGCAGTGTTGCCAATGTACAACACATTCCTCCCTCCTAGTTGGGGTGGAACTCTAAAGTCTTCTAGGTATCTATGTGGACGGCATTGTCTTCTTGGTCGGCTGTTGTCTTCGCCGATTAAAGGCGTTTTGGATTCTACTGGTTTGGCCTGTTCTGGAATGAGTGGTTGACACGTTTCACCAGTTGTTGGATGTGACTGTTAGGGCTCTTGCGTTGGTGTCAAGTTGGTTTCTTCTTCACACTCAGAAAAAAAATGCATTGTAAGATGCACAATAAATCACGTTAAAATAATTAACCCGTTCTATGGAATTCGATTTACCTAATTATTTGTTTTATAAACGATTGCTGATAATATAATATTGTTTTATATACATAATAAAAATTAAAGCATTCGAAATAAAGTGAATACTGTTTTATTGGATATCTAATATTTAGTCCTTTTAAAGTAATTATTACTCTATATGTTTCAAAAGAACCACGTTTAAAATAAACTGGCATTGCCTTGTTATTTTTGAAAAGTGTCGCTTATCTATTTATTACAATAAGACATCCTTATAATAAATTTATTTTAAGCACGAGAGTATTTTATTTCTACAAGAATTGCTAACATTTCTGTTAGGCTTTTGCCACGTGATTAATATTTGCCAATAGAAAGTCATGCATTTGAGGTGGACATCGAAAGATGGTGTTTGGCGGTATTGACAGGATAAGCCCGATCAGCTACACGTTGTTGTATGATTTTTGTCGCGTTCCATTATTTTGAATAGTACAATGATATTTATTGTATATGACAGTTGTTAGTGACAAAAAGGAGAATTGTATCGTTTACAGGTAATGTGTTGTTTAAGTAGTTGTTTAGAATGATCAAACGTTAATATTATTTCAGTAGCATTATGGCGGCCAAATGTTTTCTTGAAGAGTGATGAAAACGACGCCGGCCGAAATGATTTGATTTGCATTGCGCATTGTGATTTTGAATTTAACGCTGGACAAAGATTCCCAACAATTCAAATTTGCAAAATAACTCTTCACTAAGATGATGAGAATTCAGATGTAGAGGAATACGAGAAGTCAAGCTAGCAAAATTGTTAAAAGGTGGAACTTACTACAGCTCGTACCAGTATAAAAAGGTAAAAAAATATATTGATGAACATTAAAAAGAATGTACAAGGGTGAGTCAACGATAGAGCCAGGTCCATTATCTCTCCTTTGTTTTGAGTTTACAAAAATATTAAATAAAAGTTATAGGGAGGGGTTAAGATACACATTTTAAAATTATTGTAGAATATACAAAGTGCTTCAAAAGTGTTGCCGGATATAACATTTTTAAATGCAACGCCCTATTTTTTATTTATTTAAATTTTACGTAAAATTATATAACTTTTTATCTAATAATATTTTTTATAATATACAGGATCCCGGCAGTAGTGCGTCGGGCATCTGTAGCTCCTAGAATAATAAACTTCCACAATTTTGTTTAAATTCAAACCTAAAGTATGTACGAGGATGTATTTCAGGAAAATATTTCAATTTCTGGGTGGCTCAAAAATGTGTAAGTGGATCAGTATGTTTTTTTAAATGGAACACCCTGTATATTATTGCATTTTGGCTTCCTTTTATTACACTTTACATAATATATTATATATGGTAAATATATTTCCATAATATCAGAATATTAATAAATAAATAAAAATATATTTTTTCCAACCTTCCTTACTTTTTTTGCTATGAAGCACCCAGTATGATACAATAATTTAAAACCGTGTCTTAACCTTCCCTATAACTTTTGTATTTAACATTTGTTGTAAACCTCCCAAACTATTATTGAGATAGACACTCTATTGTTGACTCATCCTGTACAGAACAAAAATTTGTACAAGGTTGGAAGAAGTGTCTTACTCAATTGCAATATTTTTCGCAAAAGAATGAGTGATTGACTTTCGAGGTCTTTCAAGAAATTTAAGAACCCCACTTTTTAAATTCAACATAGCCACGGTTTTCTCATCTATAAATGGCCAAACCAAACCTAAAAATACTGTTTTTGCAATTATACGATTCAGAAAACCTGCAAATCCTCTTATACCCTGTATAGAAAAATTTCTGTTTCAGGTTAACTCCAGTTTTAAGATGGAGAAAAGTATATCATATATTTAACTAAACGTTGCTTTCTTTTTTAGATTCTCTTTGAAGGAATCTGACCTTTGAAGGAATCTAAGACAGATCAATTCCAGGACATTACAAAAACCAGTTGTCGCTAGACAAAATTCACCAGGATACCCTTATATCTATTTTTTTTATTTTGGAAGACATTCAATACAATTGTATTTACCTACTTATCACCAAAAGATTAATTCCGAAATAAAGTTATTTTCCTAATAAATTTGATATTTATTTCATTTAAATTGTTAGTACTGATCCTATTCGATTAAAATCAACTCAAGCTTTAAACAAAGTGATATATTAATAAATCATTAAGCACTGCATTTGAAAATATAAAGAGAAAAGCTTGAAATAAAAGGAATGTATTTGAAAAACAAAAGGAAAACACTAATAAACAAATGTATATTTCTTTAAATCAAATAGGCAGCATTTTTATCCTAAATCTGATATACCACTAACAATGACAATGATCATGTATGTTTTATATGTACGAGTATATGCATAAAATCAGTAGATATCTTATTAATTCAATTATTACCATTAATGAGGCCAAAACATGTTTGATTTTATTTGATTCATTAGCATTATTTTTGATTTTACAACGTTTTTTCTCTCAGTGCAGTAATCCTAGCAAGCATTTGGTCAGTATATCTTCTAATGATGCTTCCATCAGATGTTTCGACTCGATAGCTCAAACGACCTGTGCTTTGAACTATAGTGGAAGGAATCCATTTCTTTCCAGGTCTGAATGGTCGGGCATAGACTTTGTCATCTGGATTATCACTTTATGATTCTTTAATCCCAATAAGATATTGTATCTCTAATTTTGCAGTCACATCTTTGGTAAAATCTGGTTGTACTTTATCAAGTAAGTCTTATTTCTAATAAAAGTTCAGCAGGCGATCGTCCTGTTAATGCATGGGGGGTGATATGTTGTCTGATGAGGTATCGGCTTAGTTTTCATCTTTGCATTTTTCTTCAACGCATTCTTTCCAATTTTAGACCATTCATCTGCTTGTCCATTGCTAAGGATGGTACGGACCATAGACTTAAAATAAAATATAGACTAGGCATCTCATTCATAAATAGCTGGAACGTGCGGTCAGACAACGTCTTGTTATTGTTGTGTTATTGTTTTAGGATTATAACGAGTGCGACACGAAAGGCGATATATAGGTTGTCTCTATCATAACGGTCGTTCCCTGACGACTCTGCCGAGAAACACAACACTGTCTTTCGTTCTCAAGTACACCTGAACTCTCCGTATCATAGCCGGGTAACTTTTATTTTAATGAAGCTATAATTAAATTAAAAAATATATCGTATTTAAACTTTTTATATTTATTTATTAAGATTTAGAGTTTTTGGAATAAAAGTTTAGAAAAAAACGTCTTAGAGTCCAAAAGATAAAATAATAAAATACACACGTTATAGATGAAATTTTTAGTAACAAGAGAGTACAGTATAATTTTGAAATTAACTAATAAAATTATTAATTTTAGTCAAACACCATTTACAACCCTAATAATGTAATGAAACAGGATCTATTTTCACAGATATAATAGAATCGGCGACAGGGAGAGAAAAAAATATGATTTTGCTAATTTTTTTTTTTCTGGTTAAGTGACGTCTTATTATGTAAATTAGAGAAAACATAAATTTGTTCCAAATTCACAAAAAGAGCAAAGGAAGATTGATAGGGAAGTGGATAATATGAAAACTATATTGTTAACACAGTACTGTCTTTATTATACCGGGTGCGTTCCAAAGTGGCTCATCCTCATTTTTTATATTTTCAAATAGTTATGTTATCTTAGTACATATGACATAAGTCAGGATTGATTGACGCATTCAGTATTTTTGGTCACTTCCTGTTTCACGGAAATGAATATACAATTTTAAACGGCACCCTCGGTATATTTCTACTTTATTCGATAGAAAATGATAACAATTTAATTTTAATAATAATATTGATTTGGGCATTGACATAGCATAATATGTCAACTTTGACATTTCGCATATGGTTTTATTGTAAATTGTAACACGCGGTTTCATAACGACAATTTGACTCGAAATACCAAGTGTATTGAGCCAATATATTCCATAAAAAATGATTTTCCAAATATGCTAATGAGTCTCCCTTGTTTCATTTTGAAAAATTGACATATGTATGATTAAAACTACGATTTGTACATCTTTAACCGGCCTAAACAAGACACATTAGACGATCAAAACTATTTTTCCAAAACTCCTGATTAAAACTAGTGTTTTTAACAACACCATGGCACCCTAGGTTGAAATTTAAAAATACGATTTGTTTTAAGCGACAATGTCAAAAGTTGACATATGATAGTCATTCTATACAGAGTGTCATTTTTTGTAAACTAAAGTAGCAATATACCGAGGGTGCCTTTAAAAATCAAAGATGTAATCATTTCAGTGAAACGGAAGAGACAAAAACAGTGAATCGATCAATAAATCTAATTTATGTCATACTAACATACGAATTTTTTTGTATCTGAAAAATAAAAAAGTTATAGGGGTGAGCCATTTTAAGTTGACATTATATTCCATGTGTTTCATAATCATAATATCAGTTTAAAATTCTTGTATGTTATTTTAGATTCTGAAGATAATTTAGAATAAACGGAATATTTTTAATAAAAACATTATTAATTATTAACAGGGTTATAAATTGTGGTTTTGTTTACAATGTAGAAGTAAGTCAATATAGTAATGTAAGAGAAAAAAATTCCAGATTTTATTTTACTAAAACTTATTATCTAAATAAGCGCCTTTCGCGCCACTGACACCTAATGGGTAAATTGAGAGTTGCCTACCGGTCGAGAATCGTTTCAAGACTTAATTGGATTATTTAAAGTCAAATTTCTTGCAAATTTGGCACTGGCAATTTCCTTATTTTATAGTTTTTGAACAGAAAAAGTCAATAAAATAAACACTTAGGACTACAAACAGAAAATGCGCGTTAATACAGCCGAGGAGATAGCGGCAACAAAGGTTTACCACACACGTGCGACACGTACTACAAGGTAATAAATGAACAAACTCCCTCGCCTCTGTCCCGGTGTTGTCATATTGCCAAGGACTTATCCTTAGTAAACAGTATCCGACTTACCAAAATTTAGTAGTACAGGACTATTTAATACATCTATGGAATATTAAAACCACATTAAACTGTAAATTACAATATCTCAATATATGTATAACAAGAAAAAAAATATTGATAATATTAAGACGCTGACAACATAGGCTGGATGAGGAAGGCTCAGTCTGACTGTACCCAAGTAAACCTGTGTGCAAAAAGGTTGTTTGTCCGCGTTGTGGGAATGTAAATAGTGTAGTCTATATTTTTATTTTAAGTCTATGGGTACGGACTATTCATGCTTGTCTTATCAATTTCTGCTAAGAAACAGTTTATATTCTTCAAATTGAAGGCGCATTGTTTAATCTAAGGGTAGAAATATGCTCCATTATGCAGTACGATTACATCTAGTATGCCATGTGTTGCAATATACAAGGCGGGGCAGTATCCAATGTGCTGATCCAAAATAACTGATGGTGTCATCAGTCTTACACTAGGACGGCCATCGTATCGAAAATCTAAGGTATTATATTATTTTAGTAGGAGTAAAATGATGCGCGAGGCGTACGTTGACATTACGAGGCGAGGCACAAAGAAGGCTACTCGAATAAAACATGGTGTTAACATTAGCGTAAATTCTTTCTAAAAAAAACTTTTCATTAGAAGTTACCAAACAAAAAATAAGTAATGCTTTATAAAACATATCAAACAAAGATGCATTCATCTTTTAAACTATATAATTTTTTATAGAATTAATAAACAAAACAAAAAATACATTGCTCTATTACCACAAACATTATACCATCGAAAAAAGAAACGGCGTAAGAAATGACAATCAGTGATAATTTTGGCGAAAGTGATATCGACCCTACTCTTGTTTATTTTTAATAGCGCACTGGCAGTAGTAGGCCTTAAGGTTTATATTTGATTTTTAAATGGTGTAGTATAAATTCGAAATTTTTTTTTGGATATCGGTTTGTGTTTCAGAGCGTTCTATCCTTTATAATTTTTCTATAATTAGTATTAGTTTTTGACAAGCTTTATGTCAATTTTAATAAATGACATCTAGAAATGAACCTCATAAAATTATATTCGATTGTTATTCCCAGCGGTCTTCCAACTAAGTTTTTTTTCGATCATTCGGTATTTAGTATGTAATATCCAACGTACTCTTCCTTAACTTTTGCTGAAATCATTATATAAATCTATTTTGATTTTACACTTAAAATCATCTTTAACAACTAAAAATCCTAATAATCAGTACTGATAGAAAAAAAGGCCTCAGTTGGCTTAGAAATGAACATTGATGACATTCCCATATAATTTTACATATAGAATGACAGCGATCTTCATTTTATAGCCATCATGACCTCGTTTTTTCTCGATCATAATTGTTCGCTTGGAACATTTTCGTAATTGTGGCATCTTTAATTTTTTATATATCTTTTTCAACCAATTAAATCCTCGCATTTGTATACTTGTGTTGTATACTTGGTTTTAATAATTAAAGAATTATAGGCAAAATATTCAAATAAAACCAAACGTGACGAAACCGCTTAAATATAATTCCTTACTTATAACAATTACATTCCAAAACTGTGTGATTTACTAATACATATTTCCAAAAGATTTTCTCACCTTTCGGCACCACTAGATGTAACATAGCCTTACTCACCTTCGAAATGAAACTTCTGGAGGTTTAAATCGTGCTTTATTTTTGCAAAATTAAGCAAGTTCAGCACCATTGTCTTGTGTTTATCAATAAAATCATAAAAACAATACCACAAAACACTAAAATATCACAAATCACCTCATAAAATATTTCGAAAAACTACAACATTGGCAACGCCGTAGAGCAATTTATGAACGAATTCGAACTGGATGTTTTTGTTGGCTGCCCTAAATTTAGGAGTGAAGATAGTAAAATGTGCCAAGTTTTCGGCATCAGCTGGCGTTGCGACGTTGCCGATTGTTTATGTTAATTTCTTAATTTCTAAAATTATAATTACAGAAGATTTAAACCTTTGCCTATTAACTTTACTACCTTTAATTATTATCAGTTTAAAATATTCTACGACGTAATCTATATTTGGAATTATGGAATTCCTGGTTTACAATGTGGGTTAGCTATCCCCGTACGTATACGTAGGTAAGATTTCATTTTAAATGCGGCCGGTAGTGGAAATTTGGCATACATGCAATTTTCTAAGGCAATGATGGATATCGCCAAAATGTAATGGTGGGTTCATACAGCCAAATAAAATAAAATAAGAATAAAATAAAATAAAATAAGAAAGTTCGTTATATGGGATACCGTACATGCGTTCATACAGCCAAATAAAATAACAAATAAAATAAGAAGTCTTTATCTTTTAACTTCTTGTTTTATTTTATGTAACAACTTTGCGCACGCTTAATTCTAACCTACAAATATTTTCAGTTTAGTTTAATTTATTTTATAATTTCACATAAGTAAAATGTATAATATAGTAGGCAACGAATAAAATAAATATACTATAAATAGTAAAATTACTATAAACAATCGTAAAAGTTAACTTTATCCAGCCTCATCGTACTGCGCATGAGCAAATATATATTTCTTATTTTATTTTATTTGACTGTATGAACGCACACAAATAAGAATTCCTTATTTCTTATTTTATTTTATTCTTATTTTATTTTATTTGGCTGTATGAACCCACCATAAGTCGCCGGGTCTAATTTATTTCGATGTCATTGAGAAAAATCCTGTTTTCTGATTGACTATTAGAGAAACGCCCCCTAGCGGGCATTTTTCGAACTTGAAAATAATTTCCAGCGATTTCTCTTGGTCTATTTACTTCTCTGAATTTTTTTTCCAAAGTTATTCGATAAGTAGATTCTGAGATACAGCCACCCGTACATATTGGCTTCAGGACTTGTTGATGAAGCAAAAGCTTTTTATATATTGACAGGGTTGAATGTCGCTCTAATAGTAACCAGTACATTTTTCTGAACTTTAATTTGAGTTCTTCACATGCGATTTCTACGTTGAGTTTAGCATCAAGTGTCATTCCAAGATATTTAGCTGTATTTTCGCAAGGAATTGTTGATTTTATTGATTTATATATACGGGCTTGTACTCGATTCATTTATTAGTAAAATCGATATGCACTGACTTTTTTAATTCAATTTAAGGCGCCATTTTGCTGTCCAGCGTTGTATTTCGGCGACGGCAGTTTGTAATTTTTCGGTGGTATTGTTCTCTGCGGTGCGGTGGCTATAATTGCAATATCATCGGCAAATGTAGCAATAACAGCATTTTTATTGAATGTAGGCACATCGCTGGTGTATAATAGATAAAGGACCGGTCCCAATACACTTCCTTGCGCTACGCCTGCTTGATTTTTTCTTAGGTTAGAATAGACATCATCTTGCTTAATCCTGAACTAGCGTTCGAATATGTATGATTTTAAAATTTCGGCGGGAAGTAGTATTTGGAGTTTGTGGTTCAAGCCTTCCTGCCAAACTTTATCGAACGCTTGTGCGACATCTAGAAATAATGCCGAATATACCTTCATCTCTTCTAAAGATTTCTCAATCACACTCATGATCCTGTGAACCTGGTCAATCGTGGAGTGTTGATTAGAGATGGGCGGTTATTGGTAAAAAACCGGTTATAGGTTAACCGGGATTATCTTTAAAAAATAATAACTTGACAAAATTAACCGACACAAATTAACCGGTTATTCAAATAACCTAACCTAGCAAAACTAAATATTTAGTTTTCCTATAGGTTTACTTACCTCTACACTCCATAGATCTACTTCAAATTTAGATAATAAACTTAGTTAAGTCATGATTAAATAGAGATTGTAGCAATGTAAGTATGTACAAAATGAATTTAAACAAAATGCCTAACCTCACTTTTTGAGTGAACATTGATATGATATTAAAACTAGTAATTACTTAACGTTCAAATAAACCACACAACTCACAAGTTCTAATCTACAACCAAGTTATTTTAATCAAATACCAAGAAAAAATAAAGGAGACTGAATGAATAGATAATGAAATATTATCTTTTCATTCATTACTTGAAACTTCAATTTTGTATTCTTTAGTCCTAAGCTTCAAGAGAGACTTCAAACTACAAATAAAAACCATATTTACGGTGAAACGTGGGTCGAAGCAGGCGAAACCATGAAAACTTTTTGAAGAACCGTTGAAAATCCGTTAAAGTCGGTTAAAATATAGAATTTAGAATCTATTTGAAGTTAGGTTCGTATCACTTGGCTAGCTGAGGTGGCTGTGGTAGTCTACCATTAGTACTTTGTTTTACGGCCTGACCTGTATCAGGGCCATTCGGCCGTTGTTTGATTATTATCATCAGGGTTCGCCTGATGCCTGATTTAACGACGACTTTGATGTTTCATGTCATATATTTTTCGTTTTGGAAGCGGGGCAGGATCTCCGTTATCGTCGTAATAGCTGGAAGGTCCGTGCCGTTCGCTTCTTCGAAATTTACGATTCAAACAGCTAATATTTAATTGTTACTTGTTTTAAACAAGTACGATTTTTTAAAAAATAACCGGCTATAGGTTATTGAACGTAATGCAAGGTTATTAGGTTAACTGGTGAAAAAAAAACTACCTTTAAATAACCGGTTATTTTAGAGGAAAATACCGGTTATTCAAAAAACCAATTACTTTTGCCCATCTCTAGTGTTGATTTCTAAAGCCAAATTAATGATTGGGAATGATTTTTTTTCTTCAATGATTGTTTTTAGCTCTTTCAGTAATAGTTTTTCAAACAATTTAGATAGTGTGGGTAATAGTGATATTGGTCGATATGATGTTGTTTCATGGGATGGCTTTTATGGCTTAAGGATCATTATTACTTCAGCCACTTTCCAAAGTTGTTGTACATATTTCAATCCAAAAGAAGCACTGATTAAGTTAGACATTTTGACTAATGCTTTTTTTGACCAGCTTCCATTCTCTTTTTTTATTATTTACTTATATAAAAAAATGAGCAAGAAACTGAACGAGAAAACTGAAGAAACGATCATGGAGCAGTCAAAGGCGGAAGATAAAGCAGATACAATAAAAGCCAGAAATATTTGCATCAAAATCGAGAAAAAATGTTATCGTATGTTCGTCTCATTCAAAAACAATTTGCCTGAAGTATTCAAAGAAATGTCAGAATTATTGTCTAATGGTTATTAGAGAATATCAACTAAAATTATATATTTTTACCCCAGTGCACAAACGAGCTGTATAAAATATATGTCAATTTAGTATGTAGTTTTTGTTTTGTTATATTTGAAGAAAGTACAAAACGGTTTTTTGTTTGTATTTAGGAATTTTTAAGGAACAAATCGAATTATTAGTGTGTTTGCTACCAAAAAAAAGTTTTTTCGTATTGCGGAGTTTCCATAAAATGTGTCAAATATTATCAATGTCTTAAAAAGTAAAAACAAATAATAGTTTTACATTAAAAAAATGTTGTGTGCACTATGTGCGCATATTTGAAGTGAAACTTCTTCTTCCTCCCTCTATCACTCTATCCATCTGTCCGTTTGGCCTCTCTATTGGTCTCTCCGTCTGAGGACTCCATTCGGGTACCTCTATCCACGTGCCGAGTTTTGGTTCCAATCGACCCATAATTACGAAAAACCCTGATGATTTCATCCATTTAGAGGCATCACTTTGAAATGCCGAGGGCCGGGCGTCATCCTGTAACCCGTCCCCAATTATGCCGAAATCGACCCACATTTTTCTTCAATATCAAATCGTTAATCCCACCCTGATGAAGATTTAAACGAAACGTCGTATCCAACTTTCCACCAATCAAGTCTTATTGTTACTTCCACGTTTGGGTCCGAGTTCTTCCTCCACAAGAGCTACAGCAGACATACCTAATTTGTAGTCTGTAAAATTACTCGTTCCCCAAATTCTAAGAAAAAAAACTACAACTAATTCGATAGAAGAACACTTTCTGACTGATATTCATGAATAGTCGTCACTAATGTTGAATGAATGACAGTGAGACCGCTACTGTACTGAGACTTAACTATCTTCTCTGACTAGTCTTTTGCTCATGAGCAACCCGATCTAATCCGGCTTCTAACGGACATAAATGAACAGTACATCTCTATAAATTTTACAACTTTGCCTTTGAATAACAAACACATGTATTAAAACTTATTAGGCCAGTGGAAAATATACATATATGATACAGATATTAACTTAATTTTTTTTAAATTTTAGACCAATATTTAATTGATTATTATGCTTTTTCAGAGACTTTGGCCTATAACTATTTTAAACCAAGACAATATGAAAACTTTGAAGAGTTTTATAACATGGTACAAAGTAATATTTCTGCTGCTCAAAATTATGTGATTCCCAAAAATAACTATGACTTGGTCAAAACAGTTAATTCAACGACAGTTGGTAAGTTTTCATCATCATCATCAACCAACCACTAAAGTCCACTGCTGGACGTAGGCCTCCCTCGTTTGCTTCCATAACTCACTATCTTGAGCTATTTGCATCCAGTAACTGTGGATACGCCTTAAGTCGTCATGCCATCTGGTTGGAGGACGGCCTCTGCTCCTGAATGTACCAATTAAATAAAACAAAAATCAAGCAATAAAATAAAAAAAACTGTTATTTTAAAGCTGTTTTTTTAATCTGTTATTTATAAATAACTGTAACAGTTTCAACTGTTATCTAAAAATAACAGTTTTGCCCTCCACTACAACAAAGTCATCCATAAGTGTTCCGTTTTTCCTTTTGAGGTACGGAATCTTGCTAAAACATAAAAAACACTGCAGATATCAGACAATGTAGCTATAGTCTGTGAAACGAATAACTTTGAATTTGACAGTTCCCGCGGGCTTTTCTAGTGTTAATTTTATTAGGTTAGCAACTTGCAGCCATGCTGACGCAATGCCGTCTCTAGCAGAACAGCCTCGGAGCGAGATTTATGACGTCACGCTAGTTAGATACTACAGATTAATAAATATGTTGTAGAATACATGGAAAACATAATTATTCCTCGTATTTTTGGTTTCTATTTTAAAAATGATATACATAGTTTACATGAAATATACATAATATACAGTTAATAAATACAGTATACTTGTATTCATTTAAAATTTCCCAATATGGCGGACTTCAGTATGGGAGGCTTGAAAAACGAAAATCTCTAAACTGGAATAAGACTGGAATCGACTGTACTTCAAATCGTTCAAATTGATAATCTGTGGTAAATCCAATTGAACTCTGACACTTGGCTGACATTGACGTTTACGGTTCCTTTTTCTAAATATTTACATTATTTTTGGAGTTTTTATTCACAAATTCTACTTGATTTTGTTCTTTTATTTAACCTGCAACCTGCAGTACTAATTATATAGTTATAAATAATCTTTTCACCGATCAAGAATTGAGGAAGATATTCAAAATGTGTAAAACGCTTAAAAACGTATTAGAAAACATTGACTCGTTCACAAATTCGTGAAAATAAATTAGTCCAGATGTTTGTAAAAGGTATTATTATAATTATTTTGAGAAGTTTCCTCGTATCAGTAATTTTCAGGTTTGTAATATCTACTATATGATAATAAATAGATTAAAACTTATATTTCAGGAAACAGCGCGGGCATTACAGATTGTTGTAAATCAGTTTTAAAATATAAAGAAGGTTTAAAACAGGTTTAAAAGTTGAGTTGGTAGAGAAGACCTAAATAAGGTAATGTTGGTAATGGGACCAAACATCAAATAACACTTGAAATATATAATTATGTACAATAATTGTAAGTAGTTTTTATGAATCTGTTTGATATCTATTGCATTGTTTTTATATTTCTTGAAATATTTTTTTACTTTACAGGATACACAAGGAATAATAAAAAATACAATTACTCACTAAAAGCACTTAAGGTTTGTAATAGATGTAGTTAGAATATCAAACACCAAACTAAACCAAAAATTATGTTTTATTTTACTGGTATTCCTCACATTTGAAGGGAAAGTCATTTCATAAATAAGCAGGACATTGTATAGTACACTCTATATTAATAATTGTTTTTTATCCTATACTTGTTAGTTAACGCATCACTTACTCGGTATAAAATTTAGTACAGATTAACCTATAGTTGTGGTTGTGATATATTCTGATGTGTTTCTGGCAATTTAAAATAAGTTAATATTTAAACAAACATTTCTGGATTTCCTGGCAGGAGTGTGGACACAAATTTAATAAAGGTATAATGTGGATAATGTTCTGATTATTACAGTTTGCATGGATGTTTTGGTATGTTGTTATTTTTAATAAAGTATATTTAATGAGTTTTTGAGTATTTCTTTTTCCTTCAGAGGATTGTGTTCTAATCTTTATATATTATAAATTTTCATAAATTATATATACAAAATTTATTACCTTATAATTTTTTGCTAAATACTTTGTAGTTGATACAGTTTAATAGTATATAAAAGAACTATTTAAATAAGATGTTTGAAAATATATAGCTGTTTTTGCACACATCAATTTAATTTGTGATTAACTGTACTGAAAAAAAAAATTAAGAGAAATGGGGTGATTTATCAACTACAACATGAAAAGCATCATCCTATTTCCAAGTCTTCTATTAATTTCACTTATTAAACAACTATAATTATTCAATAATCTTGATAGTTCTAGGAACTCTCAGATATCGTCAAAACATGAAAACAAAAATTTACTTCCTATAGTTCTTACGTCCCCTTAACTGAAATATAAGAAATAGGGGAGTTAATATTCTCACTGAGAAAGTTTATAAAATACCTTTAAGTTAAATCTCTTCGGATCTGCGGTAAAATACCTTTATTCTTATTAAATAATTTCAATAATCTATGTTTTTATTTATGATAACCACCTAATAACCTAACTTTAACGTCAACTTGACAATCCTGAAAAATATTATTGTTAACCAAAGAGTAAATCAATTTCTGAATTCGCTAACGCCAACTTATTTTTCATTAAAAAAAATTACCAATTTTCGTAACTAGGTCGGCCATATTGAGGAACTTTTAAAAGAATAGTACTATATATACCGTGTGCGTCTGAAAATTGGCTCACCCCCTGTAACTTTTTTATTTTTTCAGATAAAACAACGATATTTGGTATGTTAGTATATAACATAAATGGGAATTGATTGGACGTATCCAATTATTGTTATCGGTTACTTCCGGTTTCACCGGAAATAACTACAACTTTTGATTTTTAAATGGCACCCTCGGTATTTTTTTCCTTTATTCGATAGAAAATGACTCTCTGAATCGAATGACATATCATATGTCAACTTTTGACATTTTGGCATGTGGTTTATTTGAAATTTTAACATGCGGTTCATAACGACAATTTGACTCAAAATACCAAGTGTGTGGTATCAAATTATTCGTAAAAAAATGCTTTTTCCAAATATGCTAATGACCCACCCTCGTTCCATTTGAAGAAATTGAGATATGGTTAAAAATACGATTTGGGCATCTTTTAACCGGCCAGGACAAGACACTAAAAACATTAGACGATCAAATTTATTTTTCCAAGGCTTCTTGATTAAAAATTAGTGTTTTTAACACAGCCATAGCACTCTAGATTGAAATTAAAAATAAAATTTGTTTTTGAGTGACTATGTCAAAAATTGACATATGATATGTCATTCGATTCAAAGTAAAAAAATACCGAGGGTGCTACTTAAAAATCGAAAGTTGTAGTCATTTCCGGTGAAACCGGAAGTGACCGAAAACAATTGAATACGTCAATCAATCTCAATTTATGTCATATACTAACATACCAAATTTCGTTGTTTCATCTGAAAAAATAAAAAAGTTATAGGGGTGAGCTATTTTTGAGACGCACCCGGTATATACCTATTTATAGTAATAAATAACTTTGGCAAATAAAACTATGAACCATACAAATGCAGCTTAAATGTTTTACAATATACAAATAATAAATAGGTAACATATGATATTAATGGGTAAAATGTAAAATATATTTTAAATTTTGGGGTTTGAAAATCGATCTAATTTAACAGAAAACATTCAATATCTACTAATAGTGATGTATTATTATTTGCATTCATAAAATTTATATGTATATTTTGCAAGTATCAATGTTCAAAAAATTATATTTGCAAATAATACAATATCATAGAAAAAAAGGCGCCAGCGATGGCTATGAAATAAAGATAGCTGTCATTTTATATGTAAAATTATTCTAAAATTTTTGATTTTCTTGGGATTTAGGTTCGGGAAAAACGCTGATTATTATTATAAAAACGCTGTTTTCATTTGGTTTTTTATTATTTTTTTTTGGTTTAAAAAAAACGTTTTAGTAGAATCAAAAATACGAGGAATAATTATGTTTTCCATGTATTCTACAACATATTTATTAATCCGTAGTATCTAACTAGGGTGACGTTATAAATATGGTTCCGAGGCTGTTCTATTAGAGACGGCATTGGTCTCATAATATTTGACATACATATTATTATTTTGACAATTATGACATTTAATGTTGATTTTTGCAAGAAAAGTAAGAACTGTCACTTGTTTTATTATTTTCCTTTTCTATTTCACGAAAGTAAAAAGAGTTACCTATCTGATTCGTTCAGGCACTCGATTTAAAGAATATCAGTAACTTTTTTGATAGAGGGGATTTTATATTTGCCATGTTGGTAAAAAATAACGGTCAAAATTCAAAGTTATTCATTTTATAGACTATAACACCGGTTATCTTTTTGGCATCTGTGTTACCATTATGAAGGGTAGAGGTCTCTCTACCTTCCCACCTCTACCCTCCATGCATTTGATTTGAGCAAAATTATATATAATAATTATAAAAACTTATATTTTTCGAAGAATACTTACTACGAGTATTATTATTTGTATTTTTTTAGAGTATGGTAGTTATGATTTCATCATTATTGGAGCTGGTGCAGCAGGTGCAGTAGTAGCCAACAGGTTATCCGAAATTCGCGGTTGGAAAATCCTGCTTTTAGATGCAGGAGGGGAGGATAACGATTTCAATAAAATACTTGGTCTGTACGGTTATGAGTTGTTTTCTCCGAAGACATGGGGTTACAATACAACATTCCAAAAAAACGGATGCTTAGGTAAAATAAATATATTTTTTGTTTGAAAGTGGACAGTGGAGACACAGTCTATACTATATACAATGGAAGTCTTTTAAAAAACACAGCACCACATCGCATAGTTTTTGAGAAAAATATTTTGGATAATTTATTTTTCCAAAGCGGACCTACAAAAATTACAGCATTCCAACATTCCGTGAACAACAAAAAATAAATTAATTGCACACAATTTACCTGTATAGAGGGCATCAATCGAAAAGAAACCCGAACGTTGATTAGTTTAAAAGTTATTAATTTTTTCAAGCTTTTATAAAGCTTATTGTCAAATATAATTTGTAATACTAACGTAAAATTCCATATTTTTGTCAACTGTATTATTAAGGGCATAATAGATTTTATGCGCCTCCATAGCTTAATGTCAGCTTCGGAAAAATATGTTTTTCCTCAAAAGGTATGTGCGGTGGCGTTTTTTTTACAAGAGACAAAAAATGTAGTAAATACCAGAAGGACCCTTTTACAAGAAACAAGATCGATTGTCGATTGAGTTGGAACATATTTATATGGGGAAATTAAAATAACTTTGGTTGCACATCATGATACGACCACCAGCAAACTCCATAAGACGACGCATGGTTTCATTGATGATGTGCAGTAAAATTTAGTATCGTAGGTTTGGGGATATTTTTCACCCATCCCGTACTTTTTGTTGATTTTTATGAAGGTCAAATGTTAAAGCACTTAGCGAAACATAGACACCCAAAATCTCATTCAAATCGAAATAACGGTTCTTGAAGTATCTGCAAAAATGTGTTTATTTCTTTGAATAAGAAGACTAAGGAAGGAGCATAATGCTATCCATGTATTCATGCATGGTGGGCGGAAAAGGCACCATAAAAGCTCTCTAGGGTGGGAATCCTTGACAGTTCTGTTTGACGATTCATTTGACACATTTGAATTTGATTTGAAATTTTGTGGATTTGTCAGTCTTTACGGAGCTGATTTTATGTTATTTATTATTTATTCTACTACTGATAGTTGTATAAAGGTAGTAAATCTAGATGGAAATTGTGGCAGAACTTAAATTAACAGTGACACTATCGCGATTTATCGAAAAAGACTCTAAAATAGTTGGGTTGTGTAGCGTGCGGTAGATCTCGGCAAAAATCGAGTGAAATAATGCAACAACTTTTCGCTAGTAAGTGACTATATAATATACATACGTGTAGTAAACCGATCATTTATGAAATTCACTTAAATTAACTAAATTATATATTTTTCTTGCATTTTAGCTTTTATTTATTACTTGTCAAAGATTAGATGTCAAAGAATTTAGATACGTTAATTTGACTTACCTGCTTCAGTAGCGTATCGGATATTTGTGGTAATAAATACTTATTATAACTTATCTATTTTTAGTAGAATTATATATTTTTATAACAATTTTAATAACTACCAACATTTATTCACAACGTTTTTACGTTGTGAATAAATAAAACAACAAATTATTGAGTCTACCCCACGTCTACCCTACATCATAGTTTTACATTTTTTAAATAAAATTAGAACGACACTGATAAACCGGAATTTAAGTCGGCCATATTTGAGGCCCATCGCGGTGTACCTAAGATTTTTGATATGCTCCTGCCTTAGTCTTCTTATTCAAAGGTTTATTTTTTTAAAGTTTCATGCCCTCTAACGGACAAGCTAAGCACTTTTGTATAGAGGTAAATTGTGTTCAATGGACTTATTAGACAGTTAAAGCAAGGCACAATACGTATACGTATCTCTCGACACGTAACGTAGAAACCTACGTTACGTCTGTCGTTGCGTTGTCGTGTAAACAAGAGTTAAAGCAAGTATTTTGTACGTAACTGCTTCAGTGCGTATCATGTTGTAATTCTAAATTATTTTAACTTAAACAATTTTATTTAATTATAAAACTGAAAATGGATATCTATTATTCCATTGATTCCACATTAAATTTATAAAAGTTCGAAAAATGAAGAAAATTATAAATAGAAATTATTTTATTACAGAAGTAGTCCTTACAACTTAAAATGATCTTAGTAATAAAAAATATTGTAAAACAGACACAATTTTATGATTATTTATTAGATTCCATCTTTTAGAATCCTTTTTTTGAAAAGATTTTCATGAATATTGGGACACCCTGTATATGGATAATGAATAATTAAAAAAATATACAGTGTATAATAGTGTAAATAAAATAAATTAGATAATAAATAAATGAAGGTTCCGTGTTCGAGAAAACGCCCGAACATATCGAAGGGTATTCTTAGTTGAGCATTTTGTCAACAAAAACTTTTTATACAGGGTATGTCATGTAACAGTAGCTAGTATCAACTTTTTTCTCAAATGGTCTTCCATAAGCTCCTTAATTTTGGTATCGTTTATAGGGTCATTAATTTCTTTGTCGACCTTCTTAACGAGCTTTCAAAATTGATTTTTGTTGTAATATTTTTCGCTGTAGTATAGGCGGCAAATTGGTAATTTTTCATGATAAAGAGGAGCAATTTTCATTTTTATTCGTCGGTTATCGAATGTAATACCACAAGATGTTTCGGGATTACCGAATAATACTTTTACCTGACACGAAATGTGTTATCCTTCGGAGTCGTAGTGTTGCCGGTATCGCATTGAGTGTCAGGCAAACGTATTAGGTAATCCCGAAACATCGAGTTGTATTCAAAAGATTATTTAACGAAATAAAGTACATATATACATTTTTATTATAATAATTATTATTAATAACAAAACTACAATTGTTATAGTGAGACGGGATATTTTGTGGAACTGACAGAAATGACTTCTGAATTAATATTTCAAAAAATGACAATTACAATATGGCCACCAAGCGATAATCACTTAAATGATTATCACTTATTAATCACATCCTTCTATATAGGAAAAAACATGCATAGAGTTGTATAATCTTAATAACAATCATTAGTAGACTACTCATACAACTACTGTTCTGCAATAATTGAGACAACAATTTGTTAAAGCTACTAGTATTTCCGAAATATCCATTATACCGGGTGCGTCTCACAAGTGGCTCACCTCCTATAACTTTTTTATTTTTTCAGATAAAAAAACTAGATTTGGTATGTTATATATAACATAAGTTAGGATCGATTGACGTATTTAATTCTTTTCGATCACTTCCTGTTTCACCGGATGCAAATTTTGATTTTTAAATGGCACCCTCGGTATTTTTTTACTTTATTCAATAGAAAATGACACTCTGAATAGAATGACATATCATATGTCAACTTTTGACATTTTCACTTAAAACAAAATTGTATTTTAAATTTCAACCTTGAGTGCCATGGCTGTGTTGAAAACACTAATTTTTAATCAAGGAGCCTTGGAAAAATATATTTGATCGTCTAATGTTTATAGTGTGTGTTAATGAAAATGAATAATGACAATGGAAGTCCGAAATCCTTTTATTTTCAGTAGAAGAATACATATATTTGGGACAACTATTACACAGGTCGGGATCTCTACTACCAGAAATCAACAGAAGAATTAAGTTAGCATGGAGTACTTATGGAAGAAACTCAATCATATTAATATCTATAATGCTAATAAATATCTAAAGAAGAAAACATTCGACCTATGTGTACTATCAGTCATGACCTAAGCGTGCGAAACCTGGACACTTAAAACGGGCATCATAAGAAAACTGCAAGTCGCACAACACTCAGTGGAATGAGATATGCTGGGAGTAACCTAGAGAGACCGTAAAACAATAGAGTGGATACGACGAAAGACCCAGGTATAGTCTGTAAAACGAATAACTTTCAATTTGACAGTTCCCATGGGCTTTTCTAGTGTTAATTTTATTAGGTTAGCAACTTGCGGCCATGCTGACGCAATGCCGTCTCTAATAGAATAGCCTCAGAGCGAGATTTATGACGTCACGCTAGTTAGATACTACGGATTAATAAATATGTTGTAGAATACATGGAAAACATAATTATTCCTCGTATTTTTGGTTTGTATTTTAAAAATGATATAGTTTACATGAAATATACATAATATACAGTTAATAAATACAATATATATACCTATTTATAGTAATAAATACTTTGGCAGATAAACTATGAACCATACAAATGCAGCAAATATTTTACAATATGGCTGAAATCGTACTCCATAGTCAATGTAGATAGTTTTTGTGTTAAGAATAATAATTTAAAAAAATATGGTCGGTCATCTTTTGACAAGTTTATATTAGTTTATTAATTGCAGTAAACATTATACTATATAAATAAATTTTGTGAATGCAAATAATAATACATCACTATTAGTAGATATTGAATGTTTTTTGTTAAATTAGATCGATTTTCAAACCCCAAAATTTAAAATATACTTTACATTTTACCCATTATCTTATGTACTACCTATTCATTATTTGTATATTGTAAAACATTTGCTGCATTTGTATGGTTCATAGTTTATTTGCCAAAGTATTTATTACAATAAATAGATATATATTATATTGTACCGTATGATCGAGAAAAAACGGCGTCAACGATGGCTATGAAATGAAGATCGCTGTCATTTTATATGTAAATTTATATGGGAAATGTCATCGATCGTCATTTCCCAGCCAACTGGACGCCATTTTTTTTCGATCATACGGTATTTATTAACTATGTATTATGTATATTTCATGTAAACTATATCATTTTTAAAATACAAACCAAAAATACGAGGAATAATTATGTTTTCCATGTATTCTACAACATATTTATTAATCCGTAGTATCTAACTAGCGTGACGTCATAAATCTCGCTCCGTGGCTGTTCTATTAGAGACGGCATTGGTCTAATATTTAGAAATGTCAAAAGCTGATGACATTTTACTTTTGTCAATTATGACATTTCGTGTTGATTTTTGCAAGAAAAGGAAGAACTGTCACTTGTTTTATTATTTTCCTTTTCTATTTCACGAAAGTAAAAAGAGTTACCTATCTGATTCGTTCAGGCACTCAATTTAAAGAATATCAGTAACTTTTTTGATAGAGGGATTTTATATTTGCCATGTTGGTAACAAATAACGGTCAAAATTCAAAGTTATTCATTTTATAGACTATAATAGATATCATCTACAGAGTCAAATCCCTCAAATGATAATGGGCAGGATACCTGAAAAGAAGAACGGACAACAAATGGACCACAAAAATTATAGCATGGTACCAGGAGGAATTAAGAGACCTAGAGGAAGACCAAATTTGAGATGGGACCATGATATTAGAAAGTTAGCAGGGATAACATGGACCCGCATACCCAACAATAGACAACAGTGGGCCCAACTACAGAGTATTTAAATATGTAAGGGATTCTACAACTTAATTGGAGATGGTTGAATAAGCTGAGAATGATGATGATGAAGATGCATAAAACATAATATATTATACTTTTGCGGACCTGTGTGGACTCAGTCTAACCCGTTCTAATAGATCCCGTCCCCATATGACCTGGAACCGCATTAAAGAAGAGACATAGTGACTCATCGAAGGTTCGAGAACAATCAAGTTCCACTAGAATGGCGGCGTACATACGGAAACATTCTAAATCTTCTCTATGCACCTAATGATCTAATGAACTATTCGAGAACTGTTTAGCTGTGGGTATATTAGTACAACCCTAGGCCTGTGCAAAGGAGAAACAGAAACAAACAGATCGGTCGACGTGTAAAATTGCCGCGCTAATTTCAAAATAAATTCCTTTGAGATAAATAGTAAATAAGTTGTAAATAGTTCTTTAAGTAGTTTTATCGTTATTGTTTTGTTACTTAGTGTAAAATAAATTGTGTTTAAATAAATTAGACTTTCTATCCACACGGAACCGGCGAAAAACGTAACAATACATAAAATGTGGGTTAAATTTTCTGCAGAATGGAAAAATTAAATAACATAGAGAATGTGGTATTTAAAACAAGAAAGTTGATATTGGTCACTGTTATAGGAGACACTATGTTTAAACATTTCTTATTGCTAAAAATGCTCAACTAAAAGATCATTCGACTTGTCTGAGGGGTTTTCTAACACGCTAGCATTTATTTGTTATTGAATTTATTCGATTTTGATGATACACACTATATATGTATACTTTGTGTTTTGTCAGGCATGATAAACCAACGATGTTTTTTGCCTCAAGGCAAAGTTATTGGAGGTGGAACAACTATCAATGGTGCTGTTTATGCTAGAGGACATCCAGAAGACTTTAACAGATGGGTAAATAAATATCTTTTATTTTAAATTTAGATAGCTTTTTTTATGCTTACCATAAGGGCTCAAACGCATTGACAACCAGATCGCAGCGACCAGAATTTGATTCAAAAGAATTCAATGTTATTAGGAAACGGAGCTGCGACCAGTAATATCATTGAATCAAATGCTGGTTGCTGCGACTAGTCGTCAGTTCGTTTGAGCCCTAAGCATACAAATATTAGTTTAAAAAGTTTTTCAAATTCGTTTATTTATTTTTTTAAAGTTTTAGAGAAAGTATTATTTTTTTTTAATTATTTTTTATATACCGGGTGCGTCTCAAAAGTGGCTCACCCCTATAACTTTTTTATTTTCAAAAAAACAAACAAAAGTTGACATATGATATGTCATTCTAGTCAGAGTGTCATTTTCTATCGAATAAAGTAAAAAAATACCGAGGGTGCCATTTAAAAATCAAAAGTGGCAATCATTTCCGGTGAAACAGGAAGTGACCGAAAACAATTGAATACATCAATCAATCTTAATTTATGTCAAATACTAGCTTACCGAATCTCGTTATTTTATCTGAAAAAATAAAAAAGTTATAGGGGTGAGCCACTTTTGAGACGCACCCGGTATACGTTTATATGAAATAATAATTTCTCCAAAACTTTAAAAAAATAAATAAATAATTTGAAAACTTTTTTAAACTAATGTTTATATGGTTATGGTAAGCATAAATAATAATTAAGTCAAAAAATTATCTTTTCAAATTAAATAAATATTTTCCGACTAATTAATGCATCAGTAAAAAGGTTTTGTTTATAATTATAGCAATTTATAAATAATATGTTATCGCCTTTTTTGTGCCAATACCTACTTTATACACTACTTTGTTGGAAATTATTACTTTATTCATTTTCACTGCATTTTATGAAAACAATTATTTTTACTGATAATTGGTGTTTTAAAAATTGCTTTGGACAAAATTAACTTTATTAGCAAGTATTGTTTGACATTTTTATGATTGCATCTCATGGTGTTCCTACGAGTAGCTAGGAATAGTAAGGCTCTGTAGATGTGGACCGACTATCCCTAGCTAATCGTGGGAACAATATGAGATACAATCATAAAAACACCATTGGTGAAGCTGTGGGGAAACCCCCTAGTGCCCAGGAACACTGGGGACATTTATGAATGAAAGTTCCAAGGACCAATCCCAAACGGAAACTACAGGAGAGGCGGCTGATACTTGCGCGAGGCCAGCTTCCACAAGTGGCACACAAGCTACCACCTCCTCTAGTAAGGGTCGGGAGCCTACCTCTAGGCCCTAATAAGCGACACAAGCTGCCGTTTCGTCTACCCGGCCTGGGTCAACCAGGCGGGCTAAAGGGGCGGCCATCATGGTCTTTTTGCCGAGGAGCAAGGGGAAAGACACCACCTACCTGCTGAGCCTTATCCAGGGTCAGAACTTCAATGTAAGGACATCGAGTTGGCGAGTCATCAACTCGAGGGACGAGGGTCATGGTCAGGTTCTCACAATAGGAATTGACCTCAAATCCAAGGAGGCAATAGAGAAAGAGGGGCATATCCTCTATTATAGATACGGGACAATACCGGTATCAGTCTAAGGAGTTAAAGAGGTGGAGAAAATGGAGACAGATCCTCCAGTCTCCACCTCACGAGTACCTCAGCCGGAGGCAAGCTCCTCGACTGTGAAGGGCACGGAGGGCCAAACTCCAACCGTGGAAGGGTGTGTATCCTCGGAGGAAGAGCATCTGTTTTCAGAGGGGTATGGGAAACTGTCCCCTCTACAACAGAGGTGTGATGGGTTATAGAAAGAAGGGGGCACAACTCGGGGCACAATAAATCTTTAAGGTAGCAGTGATTAACCCCCCTCTCACTCATTCTACATTCTACATTGTTTGACATGTCAGAATTAATTAACAAATTAATATACATGTGTAAAATTTAAAAATAATGGAGGGGGAGAGTATTGTTTTAAATATTTTATTTTTATTAGTCCTATTTCATTTAAACTTATATAAATAAAAAAAATTAATTAAAATATCTATCATTACTATTGTAACTCTGATTACAAACATTTGTATTCTTAGATTTAATAAAAAAGTTTCTGGTTTTATTGAAATAAAAAAGATTAAACTTTGTGAAAGCTTGGTCTACAGGGTGATCCAGTTTTTAGTAACAGGGCTTTAATATACTATAGAAAAAAATGTTTTTTATAGGTATCTGTTTACAATAATTCTGGATGGTCTTACGATGAAGTACTGCCGTACTTTAAAAAATCAGAAAAAGCTGTCTTCGAACCTAGAGATAGATTTTATCATGGCGACAATGGATACGTTACTATCAGTCAGCCTCCAGTTACTTCAAACTTGGTATGTATATTTTTAGATATTTTTATAAATTATTATTTTTTATTAATTAAAAAATAAACGTAAAATATATAAACAAACAGGCTAAATTACCGCCGCCATTAATTGTACATTTGTTTAGCCAGTGTGATGCATTATAGTCCAAGAGCTAGGTGCAAAAACATGCAAGAGTTTTCTGAAGGCTTATATTTTCAAAATCGATTGCATTTTCATGTTTAAAAGCAAAGGTACAGTCAGCAGTTCCAGTTCCCGGACACCTGGCTCTGAGAAGACGCGCAAAGGTGTAATTTTAATTAACACCTCCAAACTGTCTTCTGAAGGCTGAAAATTTGTAGATAACATTCGAATGCAATGTAAAACAAAAATATTACAGTCAGACAGGGCAGTATGGGGACACAAAGCGTCAGCGGCTCCTTAAACGTGCTGTCAAAAAAATTTTGCCACTCAAAACTCAAAGTGATTTCTGAAGGCTGAAATTTTGCAAGGTGAAGATAAAACCAACTTACTAAAAGCCAGGAGCGTCATTATATCTGTCTCACTCCGGTTTCCGTATATATAAACCGGTTAAAGTGAGATAGAACTATCCGCGCTGTCTTGCGGTGATGACGCAAATGGCTTTTAGTAACTTGGTTTTATTTTTAATATACATAGTATATTGCAAGGCTATATATATCAGAGTATAATAATATATTGAGTAAAGACCCGCCTATACGCGCCCTGTCATTATCTCACTTCCATCAGCTGCTGACTGACGGGGTTCTATTGACGACGAATCTGTTTTATATTGACGAAATACTGTTTTTATTAATAGGTAAATATATTGTTTTCACTATTACCTGGCGAAATTTCAGCCTTCAGAAATCACTTTTTTTACAGCGCCTTTGACGTAACGCTGACGCTTAGTGTCCCCATACTGCTCTGTCTGACTGTTATATTTTTGTTTTACATTGCATTCGAATGTTATCTACAAATTTTCAGCCTTCAGACAACTCTTGCATGTTTTTGCATGTTTACCCGGCTCTTGGACTAATATAGATATACACGTGTGGCAAAATTTCATTAGCAATAGGAGCTTTTCAATGCGATAAAAAAAGATGGTAAGGCTGCAAAATACACTGCAGTACAACAGAGACGGATAAAGTGTCTTTTCCCTACCATTGTATAGGGGAAGTGATCATAGAAGTGATACGACGAGAGAGCTTCTGCGTGAGGGGGCGGGTCTTTAAGACGCTTGTGTGGGGGCTACCGGCTACTAATAGAATAGAATGGAAAAAATAGAAAGACGAAGGACAGTGTTGCCATTCTGTTAAATCAAAATTATGTTGGCTTATCCTAAATCCCGAATCTTCTAATCCCATTATCTTGCCTACTTAATGAAATATGAAATAAAGTACAAAACAATTTTAAGAATGTTTCCTCTAGGCACATAACAACTTCTTTTTAAAACAAAAAGTAACATGCAGAAGTTTGAAATCATTTCTAAAATAGCAAGTGCAATTCTATGAAATGGCAATACCGTACGATCTTCCTTCCAGTCGCCCCGACACCGACCGGTCGGTCGGCGGCGGCGACAAAGGAAGGCTGCGACAAAGGAAGGCCGAAAAATTTTTATAAAGGAGTAGCCGAACAGGGTTGCCGGGTTTGTTAGATTATAATTCCATACGAGAACAAAATTCTCGGTAGATCTTCAACAAAAATCAAAAGTACAGAAACAAAATAAAATATAATATTTAAGTCCAAAATTAGCATTCCTATGTGTCGTAATACTAGATCGCTCAAATAAAATACAAATATAGTAAATATAACAAGAATTAGAAATAGGTAGGTATATTATATTCAGTGCGAGATTCTGAATCATACGTTCTACTCGCCTGGGGTAGTTTTGTTTTAAGGTTCGACATTTCGTGGTTTAGTGGTTTGGTAATTTCAAGGCCACGCTTTTGATTAGAAAATTTTGAGGTTTGGATATGAGAATGGGATGGGACAGTGATTTCCCCAGTATGGTCCTGGGAGATAAGCTATAAGGCTCGCGTGGGCAGGGGCACGTCCCTGCGTGACATTAAGGAAGTGGCAGGTAAACGGTGGTTAAATATAGCACAAAATAGGGAGTCATGGAAAAGGATAGGAGAAACCTATATCCAGGAGTGGATGAATCCGTGTTGAGGTAGAGGTATATTATTTAATATTAAAAAAATATATTGAATTAAACAATATTAATATATTAATAAAAACTATAACAAGTAGGGATAGCAGTCACTTTTTACCTTTGTACAAATTTTGATCAGTGATATCTAAAATTAATTTCATTTCAATGGGAAAGCTGTAGCACTCTCAACTCTTTTTCATATTAATATATTTTTTTGACAGGAAAAGCACTAAAATATTTATCCGTATTCAGTTTGTTTCTTAACTTAGATTTTGTTTTTTGTTTATATTTTTTGGGGGGGAAAATATGGGTTTAACTTTAGTAGATGAATGAAACAAAATCTTTTCAAAAGATATCAACTTCTTCGGGCATATCGCCAATACCGCGCCTAATAAAGAGTAATAAGGATTTGTAGGAATATATTTGTCACTCTGCAACTAGACAGAACGATGACCTATGATTACTAAATAAAATTTAATAAACAATAATAAAGTCAGATTAGACTAAAGACGCAGTTGAACATATTGTTAGATTTTTGTTTATATCGGTAGATCGGTAGCTTACAGACGAAACCGGTAGACCTGGCAACTCTGTGATGGACTGAGGCGTTTTGCGGAGGCGCGGGAAGGGAAATAAAATAATGGCGATAAAGGGCAGGTGGATGGGTATCATGGGTGGATGGGAGGCGGCGGAACTTCCAAAATTTGTTATCTTATTGGAGTTTGTCTAACTCGACAGTCGTAGTGGAAGTGGAAACGGGGAAGTTGTTGTCCATCTCTGTTTAAGCTTAGACTTTTTATAGGCGTTTCATTCCAATGCATGTAATTCCTATGCCTAGATATCCTATTACCGGACCTGTATAAAATATGAAATATAAAACTTGATATTGAACTTATTAGGAATAGCAAACCGCCCTGTATAAATACGTTTTGTTGATTTTAGGGACCATTAATGAGAGATATATTTAAGGAAGGTGGCGTGGAATACAATTATGATTACAACGGCAAATGTGAGCACGGATTATCCATTGCTGAGCTTTTCCTTAAAGGAAATGAACGTGTCAGCACAGCATCGGCTTTCCTTGACAATTTCCGGTCCAGAGAAAATCTCCGCATCAGTCTGAACAGTTTCGTCACCAAAATTGTTATTGACAATGTCACCAAGTCAGCTAGAGGGGTGGAATTCGTAAAAAATGGTCAGAAATATTTTGCTAAAGCTGATAAAGAAGTGATTGTTTCAGGTACCTATTTGTGTGTAAACCTTATTACTAAAGAATACCAATAAAAAGTACATATGAAAGATTAAACTCAATAAAATCTAATGAAATAGAATAGAAATATGTAAATGTTAAAATCTAGTTAGTTGAACGTTTTGTGTATCCCCCTTCATCCGTTTTCCTATTTCCAGCCGGCGGAGTTAATTCAGTTCAAGTGCTCCTGCTCTCGGGAATCGGCCCGGAAAAGCATTTGAAAGAGATAAACGTACCCCTGGTTAAAAACCTGCCTGTAGGAGAGTATTTACAAGATCACGTCATGTTTATTGGCTTGGTAATCAGGTAAGATCTCAGAGAGATAATACCACAGATAATACGGATCGATCAACAATCATTAGCTGCTCACACACGGAAAGACTTGGCATCAAGGCCCGGCATTGAGGCCAAGTTTTTCCTAGTGTCTTCCTAGTGTTTTCCATAGTTTTGTGTGAAGGGCAAAGTCCGCGGACCGTTTATCTCTTTTTATTATACAGGGTCTCACACGCTAAGTGTATATTATACAGCTCCAAGGAGAGCGGTAGTTTATATCGAAATGAAATTTTGGCAGCATATGTAGGTTAACTGAAAGCATTTTATAAAAATATATAGAATTATACAGAGTGTCCCCAAAAAAGTTACACATCAAAATTGTATTTTTTTCTAATGGAACACCTTATATATTAATTGATTTTCGGATTCTAGGAAAAAAATAAAGGTGAGTTTTATTAAAGAAGCATATACCTAAAATCTAAGGATTTTGACATATTTTACATTTTGTGAAAATGAAGAGTAAATTTTAAATTTTGATAACAGCTACCTAAATTTTAGTTGACCTTGTATAACCTGATATTTAATTACAGTAACCATTGTATGTTCAACCAAATTGAAATTTGACCCGAAAAGTAATACAGGGCTGAGACAAAATTATTATGGAACATTAGTCACGTTTAAAAGCAAGTTACTCATTTATTTTAAATGGAACACCCAGTATATTATTTCGGTATTCAATGGAGAATTTATATATCTTCAAAATATTATTAAGATTACCTACCCATCAGGCCAAGATTTTCCTAGATATTTTATTTTTTATGATTTTGTGTTAGTAGATCTTTATTATTTGAAAAAATCTAGGGTGGCTGTCATTTACCTTTTGTTAATTTAACAAAAATTAAAAAATGTAGAGTAAAAAACTCAACGGCAACAAAAAGATACAAGTTTAAAACATATTTTAATTAAAACTAGATATTAACCTATAATTATGTGACAAAATATAGCTAGATGAAATCAAATGCTCAAAATGTTTCTTTTCCTACTAACTGCATAAAATGATTGTCTTTTCAAAAGGACCTTTTCATTTTAAAAGGCATATGTGGAGTTTTACCTCGAAAAACAGCTACAATAATTTTTTTCATGTTATCGACAATAGTTGGTCGAGTTTTATAAACACTGTATTTAATATATCCCCATAAAAAAATCTAGACTAGATAAATTCAGGAGCAGTTAAGTATGATACTAATTAATTGGTGAATGCACACTGCATTCATCAACTGATAGAATCATATCAATTCTCTCTGATGTGTGACACAAAAAGTTGGAATAATTAGACAGTTATGTTGAAGTAACGTCAGACATATCACAGCCACGTAGACTTTATCAAATAATAAAGATCTACTCAAATCAAATCATGTAAATGAAAATATCTAGGAAAATCTTTGTTTGAGGGGTAGGCAACCTTAATAGTATTTTGAAGAGACATGAATTCTCCATTGAATATCGGAATAATATACTGGGCGTTCCATATAAAATAAGAGAGTAACATGCTTTTAAAAGTGACTAATGTTCCATATTAATTTTGTCTCACCCTGTATAACTTTTCGGGTCAAATTTCAATTTGGTTTACTAAGTACAATAGTTAATTTAACTACATATTAGGCTATACCGGGTAAATTCCAATTTAGGTAGCTTTTATTATAATTTAAAAATTGTTCTTTATTTTAATGCATATCTTTTATTTTTTCTTTATTTTTAGAAAATGTTAAATATGTCAAAAATCTTACATTTTAGTGATATTCTTATGAAACTCACCTTTATTTTTCTGCCAGAATCCGAAAATCAGTTAATATATAGGGTGTACCGATACAAGAAACACAATTTTGATATGTAACTTTTTTTGAGGACACCCTGTAGAACTCTCTGTATTTTTAAAAAGTTGCTCTGAATTAATCTACATATGCTCACAAACTGTCATTTCAATACAAACTGTCGTTCTCCTTGGAGCCTCCGCGGCGTATGAGAGGCGCCACCCTGTATATTATATAAGGTATTTTGGGTGAAAGTTTGTGAGGCCAAGTCTTTTCGTGTATGGGCAGCTATTGAAATAATTGGCCATTTTGATTTTGCTCATTTGGTTGGCATTAAATTTAAGATATTCCAATATTTATCAACTGTTATCACTAGCGTCGGAAAAGAACTAGCTTCTACCCTTGGCTTCTACCTAGGCTGTACTTAAACTGCCGTTAAACGGTAGCTTACTAAAATGCCGTTAATAGGTATGACGTCGTTGATGTGACGCACTTGACGGCTTTATGAAATATAGGAATTTTATAAATACTAACCAACGCTATCCACCCCACCAAATAACCAACGCAACTAACCTCGACACTGATAAAAAATATTAAAAACAAATATAGGAATTTTATAAATACTAACCAACGCTATCCACCCCACCAAATAACCAACGCAACTAACCTCGACACTGATAAAAAATATTAAAAACAAATATAAATTAGTAAAAATTAACCAACCCCACCAAATAACCAACTTAACCAACGCAACTAACCTCGACACTGATAAAAAATATAAAAATCCAATATAAATTAGTAAAAATCAACCAACCCCACCAAATAACCAACTAACCAATGAATTAACACCCTCCAAATAACCACGCTAACCATCCCGCCAAATAACTAAAAAAAATCTAACCAAAAAGAGTGAAACCAATGCAATAAGATCACGCTATAAGCAAAAAAAAAAATATAAAAAAGTCTTGGTCGGCGTGAGATTTGAACCACGGACCATTCGCTTACGAAGCGATAGCCTCAGCCACTGACCCACAGGTGCTCTTGCAAAATGCTTAAGGCTAGGCATTACTTTCCGCCGACATGAACGACGTCACAATATCTATTAATGGCATTTTAGTAGGCTACCGTTTAACGGCTGTTTAAGTACATCGTTCTACCTACGTCCCGCTAGTCATCTCGCATATATACCCTACAAGTCTTGACAATACAAGAAAAAAGTCATAAGGTGGCTTTGGTCAAAAAACAACTGAGTGATTAGTGGTAGAATTATTAGCATCTAGCTAAAAAATAACTATTAATGTTTTCCATATTTTCTTTTTTAGTGGTAAAATACACGGCATTTCTAGATATGTTTTCTACTTTTAGGATCAATGGAACTATTTACAATGACACTTTAAGGGAACTTTTAATGAGGTATAGAAGAAATCAGCGGCCTTTGATTTCATTCTTGGAAAATATTGCTTTTACAAATATCGACAAAGATACTAAAAAACGGCCGGATATTGAATATATTGTGTCACTTCCGCTAAATCTTCCAGACAGGGGTTCAACGTACGTCAGGTATAGTATTTTTATGTTTTATAATTTTAGAGAAACAATCTACAAAAATAGGGTTTTGATACGTCTAGATTTACCCGAACATGTCCAACTTTGTTGAATATTTTAATAATTCCGATGTCACATCCATGTTGTTAATTTGTTTATTACTCACGGCAAGAGCTTTATGGTTGAAATATGGCAACCTCGGCCAGCTCGTCGAGAGACGACGCGAAGGGACGAGTCGGCAGCTTAGCTTAGTACTCATTTGGAATGTAGGCAGTGTTGCCATTCTGTTCCCCAATAAGTTACCGTCCAGTTAACAATCTGTATATCTATTAAACCGCGACATTGTTCGAAAATATCTGCTTAATTTTCTCGTTTTCGGTGCACTCGTTGATTTGAAATGTGAATTTTTGTCTTTATTTCGTTATGATTATGTGCACTTTATGTATACAGGGTTGTTCACCAAATACGACACGGAGTATTGTAGCTAAACGATGAGATTTTTACAAATTGTAAGTTTTGGGTTCGATGAAGGACTATTAGATGTACAATTTAAAAATATTTTTACAAGATACAGAGTGTCCCAAATAAATAAAAAATATCAATGTTGTATTTTTTTAAATGGAACACCCTGTATATTATTACATTTTTAGTTTCTACGATTAAAATAAAGGTAAATTTGATTAAGATTTATTATACTTACCGTTTTTGAAATATTTTCAATTTTGTGAAATTGCAGTAAAAATTTTAAGGCTTCATTTCTCCAAGGGTATCAAAATTTTTGATACTAAATATTTACTGAAGTTTATTTAGTGATCAGTTATTGTGTAGTAATAATAAAAATAATACTACCTTATACAGAGTGTCTAAAAATTTATTTTAAATAATTATTAGCTTCAAACGGCAATAACTTGTTTAATTTAAATGGAACACCCTGTATATTTTACTAGAATCAGATGCACAATTTAATTGTCTATCAAATTATATTAAACCATTTTTTACCTATCTCTTTAAGTTTCCGTAGAAAATGCATTTTCTTGTAATTTAGAACTTATTTATCAATATACCCATGGACTATTGACATTTTAGGTCATTTTTAAAGATGTACCAAATTTTTAAAGAGTACAGATACTAATATTGTCGATATAATTCGTTTATTTCATTAAAAAATAAAAAAAAAACTGTTTAAATATTTGTTAAAGAGGACCAATTAATATGATGCCGTATTCAAACTACATTAACTGACTGTTTGCGTTGATTAATAATAATTGCTCCAAATACTAAAAAACTGAATTTTGTATGGGCATTAGATAGTGTGATAAAAAGTAACACCTTAAAAATGATATTTCATTTTTTAATAAATGCTTATTTATAACAACAAAGACTTTAATTTGATAACTTATTATTATATTGATTTCTGACTCAAAAATCCACATTTATTTATAATAATTTAATAACGAACACAATTAAGTATGTAATTAATTAGTATATGGGCGCAAATAATGGTGTTATATTTAATTAATGGTATACTCTTTTATAAAGATTTAAATAGTTTTCTTTTTGCATACAAATGGGCTAGTAATATTATCGTTTTGCTAAAAACGATAATATTACTAGTCTGTACATTTTGTACATTTGTTGCTTTAAAAACAATCTAAAATGTCAATATTTCATGGATATATTGATAAATGAGGTCTAAATTATAAGAAAATGCATTTTCTACGAAAACTTGAAGGGATAGGTAAAAAATGGTATAATACAATTTGATAGACAATTTAATTGTGCATCTGAGGGTGCAGCCACACTATCCTAAAAATGGCGTATCGGCGTAACGGCGTAATGACCTTGAATAGATTTCCAGTAATTCTATTGGCTGAAACATTCATCTGTCAGAAATTTTATCTGTCAAATTCATCTGTCAAAAATTTCAGCCAATAGAATTACTGGAAATCGATTCAAGGTCGTTACGCCGTTACGCCGATACGCCGTTTTTAGGATAGTGTGGCTGCACCCTGATTCCCCTAAAATATACAGGGCATTCCATTTAAATTAAAGAAGTTATTGCCGTTTGAAGCTAATAATTATTTAAAATAAATTTTTAGACACTCTGTATAAGGTAGCATTATTTTTATTATTGCAACACAATAACTGATTAATAAATAAACTTCATTAAATATTTAGTATTAAAAACATTGATACCCTTGGAGAAATGAAGCTTTAAAATTTTTACTGCAATTTAACAAAATTGAAAATATTTCAATAACGGTAAGGTTTAAGTATAATAAACCTTAATCAAATTTACCTTTATTTTAATCGTAGAAACTAAAAATGTAATAATATACAGGGTGTTCCATTTAAAAAAATACAACTTTGATATTTTTTATTTATTTGGGACACTCTGTATATTGTAAAAATATTTTTAAATTGTAGCTCTAATAGTCCTTCAACGAACCCCAAACTTACAATTTGTAAAAATCTTATCGTTTAGCTACAATACTCCGTGTCGTATGTGGTGAACAACCCTGTATATAAATATTTTTATCCATAGCCTAAACAAAGAATACCTGGCTGCTATAAAAATCAACACTACCAGTGACTTTTTTTTGTTCACGATGTTGATGCATCCGAAATCACGTGGTACAGTGAAACTTCAATCCAACAGTCCCTTGGATCGGTATACCCTTGATCGATCCTAACTACCTGGCTGAAGAAGAGGACATCGAAAAGTTATACCAGGGAGTGAAATTTATTGTGAACTTGAACAATACCGAGGCATTTAGGAAGCACGGAGCACAAGTGGTGGCATTTGACTATCCAAATTGTGAAACATTTAAGAAATTTAGTAAGGGTTGGTGGCAGTGTGCCATAAGACATATGAGTACTACGGTAAGAGTTCTTTTGATTATTTTTTTTATTCTCGCTCATGATAATTTGTTTGTTTCCTATCTCAACTTTTTTTCTCTATTACCGAATTCCTTTTCACTTCAGATATGCGCACACATTTTATTTTATTTTCTTCTCTCCTGAAAAATTTACTAAATGCGGGATTCGTCAATACATGAGATAGGGGACGATATGCACGCCACTGAGATACACATTACCTATTTAAATTAATATACTCGTAGATCTATCATCCGGTGTCTACAGCCAGAATGGGATCAGATCCATCAGTATCAGTGATAAACACCAATCTACAGGTGCACGACATTTCCAAACTGAGAGTTGTTTGCAGTAGTTCGATGCCTGAGTTGAATTCTGGACATACTACAGCACCTACAATCATGATAGCCGAGAAAGCCTCAGATATCATTAAAAAGTATTACGGAAAACTGCGATAAAATATATAATTTCATTTAAATTATGAAAGAAATTGTTTTTATTACATTTTTGCTTGGCACATATTAAAGAAAATCACAAATTGTTTTGTCTGTGATTGTAGATATACAGGGTTGTTCACCACATACGACACGGAGTATTGTAGCTAAAATAAATAAAAAATATCAAAGTTGTATTTTTTTAAATGGAACACCCTGTATATTATTACATTTTTAGTTTCTACGATTAAAATAAAGGTAAATTTGATTAAGGTTTATTATACTTAAACCTTACCGTTTTTGAAATATTTTCAATTTTGTGAAATTGCAGTAAAAATTTTAAAGCTTCATTTCTCCAAGGGTATCAATGTTTTTAATACTAAATATTTAATGAAGTTTATTTATTAATCAGTTATTGTGTTGCAATAATAAAAATAATACTACTTTATACAGAGTGCCTAAAAATTTATCTTAAATAATTATTAGCTTCAAACGGCAATAACTTCTTTAATTTAAATGGAATGCCCTGTATATTTTACGAGAATCAGATGCACAATCAAATTGTCTATCAAGTTGTATTATACCTATATTTTTTACCTATCCCTTCAAGTTTTCGTAGAAAATGCATTTTCTTATAATTTAGACATCATTTATCAATATACCCATGGAATACTGACATTTTAGATGTTTTTAAAGCAACAAATGTACAAAATGTACAGACTAGTAATATTATCGTTTTTAGTAAAGCGATAATATTACTAGCCCATTTGTATGCAAAAAGAAAACTATTTAAATCTTTATAAAAGACTATACCATTAATTAAATATAACACCATTATTTCCGCCCATATACTAATTAATGACATACTTAATTGTGTTCGTTAATAAATTATTATAAATAAATGTGGATTTGAGTCAGAAATCAATACAATAATAAGTATCAAATTAAAGTCTCTGTTGTTTAAATAAGTATTTATTAAAAAATGAAATGTCATTTTTAAGGTGTTTCTTTTTATCAGACTGTCTAATACCCATACAAAATTCAGTTTTTTAGTATTTGGAGCAATTATTATTAATCAACGCAAACAGTCAGTTAATGTAGTTTGAATACTGGAATCATATTAATTGGTCCCCTTTAACAAATATTTAAACATTTTTTTTTTATTTTTTAATAAAATAAACAAATTATATCGACAATTTTAGTATCTGTACTCTTTAAAAATTTGGTACATCTTTAAAAATAATCTAAAATGTCAATATTCCATGGGTATATTGATAAATAAGTTCTAAATTACAAGAAAATGCATTTTCTATGGAAACTTAAAGAGATAGGTAAAAAATGGTATAATATAATTTGATAGACAATTAAATTGTGCATCTGATTCTCGTAAAATATACAAGGTGTTCCGTTTAAATTAAACAAGTTATTGCCGTTTGAAGCTAATAATTATTTAAAATTAATTTTTAGGCACTCTGTATAAGGTAGTATTATTTTTATTATTGCAACAAAATAACTGATCAATAAATAAACTTCAGTAAATATTTAGTATTAAAAACTTTGATACCCTTGGAGAAATGAAGCCTTAAAATTTTTACTGCAATTTCACAACATTGAAAATATTTCAAAAACGGTAAGGTTTAAGTATAATAAACCTTAATCAAATTTACCTTTATTTTAATCGTAGAAACTAAAAATGTAATAATATACAGGGTGTTCCATTTAAAAAAATACAACTTTGATATTTTTTACTTATTTGGGACACTCTGTATCTTGTAAAATTATTTTTAAATTGTACCTCTAATAGTCCTTCATCGAACCCAAAACTTACAATATGTAAAAATCTCATCGTTTAGCTACAATACTCCGTGTCGTATGTGGTGAACAACCCTGTATATTGGTAGAAATAAAAATAAAAATAAATCTGTAGGTATTTGTGTGTTCCTTAATGACATATTTGCTAAGGTGGGCTAATATTTAAGAGGGTGATTTTTGAACCCATTCTAAGGAAAAAACTTCATATGAATCTATGTCCTAAAGACAGATTGACACGGTCTGCTATACAGGGTGCTAATTCGCCGGGGTACGAGCATTGGTATCTCGGTAACCGTAATAGATATGAACATGGTTAAATTGGGGCAAAGTTGAGCCTTGAGATGTTCACTAAGATGCCATTATAAAAGTTTAAAAAATTTCAGGGATTGCTGAGTTATTTGGAAAACGAATTTTTTTGAAAATCAATTTTATTTTTTCTTGCAGTTACTTTTTAGAAAATCAAGAAATCAATAATTACACAATCTCACAGCCACTTTATTAGAGCTATCTGATAGTTTTTTAGATTTTGAAATTAGCTGATAATTTGTGAGATATATAGGCCAAATTATTTTCTTTCTAAATACGGATCTGCATTTTTTATTTCAGGTTTTAAAAGAATTCGGTCTCCTGAGTACGATGATCACTGAAGCCACTTAATATTTTTTTTTTGTTTCGGGCATTTAAACTATTTTTTTTAAACTAATTTTAAGTCCGGCTCTGTTTTCTTTTATATACAATATTGATGAGCTTAAAAACTTAACAATGACGTGGGGTAAAAGAATGAATACGGAAAATCAAACACAATAAAATAATACAAATATAATAAAATATAAACAATCAAATCATTAAACCGGAAAATGGATTGGAAGTGATGGAGCAGTATAATGGCCAGCGAGGTTTCTTGACCTGTCACCAAGGGACGGGTGCATTACTTGTGTCATACTTGGTGCATTATTTGTCGTTCATGTCATTTGTAAAAGTAAAATCAATACACCTCAACAATTACAACAAACAGTACAACAACAATACAGTAAGAAAAGTTAAAAATAATATCTTTAAATTGCTTACCTGGACATTATTTATGTGAATCTTTCAATTGGCTCGATTTTCCTTATTCAATGTTAATTAGAGCTCATCAATATTGTTGCGATGAATATAATCAGGTTAAATAGTTTTAGAAGCCTTAAAGAAGAAATTATTTTAAATAGTTTTGTTGTTGTTAAAGTACTCAAAACAAAAAAATATAAAGTGTGGCATAACGTTGTACTCAGAAAATTGATTTTTTTCAAAACCTGAAATAAAAAATGCATGTCCGTATTTAAAAAAATTAAGTTGGCCTATGTATCTCACAAATTATCAGCTAATTTGAAAATCTAAAAATACTATCAGATAGCTCTGATATAATGGCTATGAGAATGTGCAATTAGTTTTTTGATTTTCTAAAAAGTAACGACAGGAAAAAATAAAATTTATTTTCAAAAAAATACGTTTTTCTCACAAAACTCAGCAATCCTTTAAATTTTTTAATCTTTTTTAATAGCATGTTGGCGAACATCCCAAGGCGCAACTTTGCCCCAATTTAACCCTCTTCGTATCTATTACGGTTTGGTTTGGTTTGATTTCCGAGATACCAATGCTCGTACCACGAATTTCCGAATTTGTAGCGCCCTGTATTAGGATACTGTGTGCTTGTCACTTGTACCGTTGATTGAAGGAAATAAGTTCTTTCAATCAACGCTTGTACGCTGCTTGTATCGTATTAACTGTTTTATCCATGTCGAGATGGAAGACTTCGTCATCCAAGTAAGTCGGAAACATCCAAGTAAGTCGGCAGCAGTCTCAAAGTCTCAAGCTTGACCGCACCCAGCTTCATCACAAGTTTAGTAGTTTTAGTGTGGAAACACAGTGCAAGCAGGTTTTCCGCTTACTGGTAGTCGGCGCCGATCTGAGTACCTATTATTGGTGTTATTATATAGGTATAAGGCGTTATGCTATATAGGGGTGCAAGGGGTAGTGAAGCGATACATATAGCCTAGCTTACCCAAAAGTCAACCTTACCTTCACGCGGTGCACCCTGTTTACACAAACGAGGCTCTGACGTCCGAGTATAGGCGGTATAACCTTATACAACCCTTAGACCTACCATCTTTCTGGGGAAGAGGAGTAGTAAACTACTCCTAGCCGACCGAGAACGTAGCACAAGGGAACTATCGTCGCGGTCCTCACTGTGTCATAGTCATCCCGTGCTACAGTTGCAGCCAAAACTGTGCGGCACCGTTACAGTTAAACATTTTCACGCAGCTAACACACATCAATGATGGAACATTCGAGTGGGACGAAATCATCATCCGGAGGTAAAATACCCCCTCAATCGGATCTCCGGGAGGGGGTGCCTACTCGAGCATGCGAGGTGCCTACTCGAGCTCGAGCATGCGAGGTGCCTACTCGAGCATATCATCGGTATATCATCGGAGAAACAAAAAACATCAATGTTTCACGTTTGCGGCGTGGAACGTCCGCACTCTACTGGACAAGATAAATTCAAATCGACCAGAGAGAAGAACAGCACTGGTCTCACAGGAACTCCACCGACTAAATATAGATGTTGCCGCTCTTAGCGAAACCCGCTTCGCGGATGAGGGTAGTCTCACTGAGGAGCATTACACCTTCTTTTGGAAAGGTCACCCCGCAACACACAGAAGAATTTATGGCGTAGGCATTGCAATCAAAAACGAAATCGCCACTAAATTAACAGAAGTACCTATTGGTGTCTCCGAACGTCTTATGACCCTAAGGTACCCCATATCAAACAAATCTTACGTCAACATCATCAGTGCCTACGCTCCCACCCTAGACGCTAAAGTTGAGGATAAGGATAAATTTTACCAAGCTCTACAAAATGCTCTCCAACAAATTCCAAAGCACGAACGAATCATTTTGCTAGGTGACTTTAATGCTCGTGTCGGCAGACAACAGGAAATATGGCCTGACGTATTGGGAAAACATGGAATGGGAAACATAAATAGCAATGGTGAACGATTATTAACAACATGCACAGAGCATAATCTATGCATTACCAATACGTGGTTCATGTTGAAGGACAAGTTTAAAGGTACCTGGAAACACCCCAGATCAGGTCACTGGCATCAATTGGACCACGTAATCGTTAGAAGGACGCATATAAAAGATGTCAGACTCACAAAAGCCATAATAGATGCCGAATGCGGCACTGACCACCGACTTTTAATTTCAAAAATGAAAATCCAGTTAAAACCCAAACATCCACACTGTAAAAAGCAAAACAACATGACCAGATTGAGCGTACGGGGTCTAGAGACCAAAAATACCGCCGACGCCCTCCGGGAATCCATCAAAGAATCACTTCCACCGATAACTTCAATCTCAATCTTGGAAGCTGAACAAGGCTGGACACAATTAAGGGATGCGATTCATAAAACTAGCGAAGCGGTACTGGGAAAGTCCAACAAAAAGAAACAACCAGACTGGTTTAACGAAAATAAACCTCATACACAGATCTTGTTGGAACAAAAGCATAGAGCACATCAAGCAGTCACTTCAAATCCACACAATCCAAGGCTGGTAGATAACTTTAAAGCAGCCAACAACACGCTTCGAAGAAATCTGCGCCAATTAAAGGATGATTGGTGGTCACAAAAGGCTAATCAGATTATTGTAAATTCTTCGAGGCTGTAAAAGAAGTATACGGCCCAACCAAGAAGTTAAGCTGCCCAATCATGGCACAAAATGGCGAACTTCTAAAAGAGGAAGAGCAAATTAGAAACCGCTGGAAAGAGCATTACAGCCATATCCTTAACCAGGAAAACAACCCCAATATGGAAGCACTAAACACAATACCTCAGTATAACAGCCTCGATGTATTAGATACGCCAATAACAGAACAGGAAATAATGGCATCCATAAAACAGCTTAAAAACAACAAATCAGCTGGCTGTGACGCGATCCCGGCGGAAATCTATAAGTATGCAAGTAAAGAACTTATTGGTCACCTTAAGGCTCTCTTCGATGTCATATGGGAAAACGGAGAGGTACTTCAAGACTTTTGCAATGCGAATATAGTGAATATATTTAAGAACAAAAGAAGTGCATCAGACTGCGGAAATTACCGGGGAATTTCACTGTTGGCTATCGGAGGAAAAATTCTTGCAAAAATTATGTCAAATCGCCTTCACCCACATATAGAAAGAATCCTTCCAGAATCGCAAACGGGTTTTCGCACCAACCGTGGCACCGTCGATTCCATAATTTCCATCCGCCAACTACAGGAAAAAGTAAAAGAGCAGCAGTCTAAACTTTATGTTGCATTCATCGATCACACTTTGGTTTGATACATTGATCACACTCGAGATACACTTTGGGTAATTATGAAAAAGTTCGGAGTACCCAACAAATTTCTTACAGTGTGTAAAAGCCTCCATAACAACAACCAGTCAAGAGTGTCACATCATGGATCACTGAGCGATCCCTTCCTGACTAATACAGGTGTTAGGCAGGGATGTGTCTTAGCGCCTCTTCTATTCAACATATTCATGGCAGCGCTCTCCATTATAGTGGACAGCAAACTGCAGGAGACAGGATTGGGCATTAGATACAGATATGACGGCGGTCTGTTCAACATGACCTGAGGGCAAAAACACGTACAAAATGCATCACAGAACTCAATACGCTGATGACTGCGCTCTAGTTGCAAACACGTTACAACAATTACAAGAAATGTTGAACACATATAGCTGGGCATACGAGGCTTTGGGCCTTAAGCTAAACATCGACAAAATCAAAATCATGTGCACTCCCCCGGAAGATCATAACAATGCTATAAAAATCGGAGAGGAACTATTGGAATATGTAGCGGAATTTAATTACCTCGGCAGTTTGATTTCGGAAAAGGCCAATATCGACTCTGAAATTCAGCACAGGATTAACAGCGCCTCAAGAGCATTCTGGAAATTAAAAGACCGGGTTTTCTACAATCATGACTTGAGTATAAAAACGAAACTGGCAGTGTACCGAGCAATTATAATCCCCACCATGTTATATGAGAGCGAAACCTGGGTGGCCGTACCGCCGACACATGAAGGCATTAAACAAGTTGCACCAGAGACACCTTAGACAACTCTTAAGAATCCGGTGATTCCATCATGTCTCAAACGTATCGGTCCTTGAAAAAGCTAATTGCGAGAGTATTGAAATCATGGTTACAAAATCCCGCTTAAGATGGGCTGGTCACGTATGCAGAATGCAAGAAAACCGCATACCAAAATCTCTGCTTTACGGTGAGCTTGTAGACGGTAAGAGGAGACCGGGTGGACAACTCAAAAGGTACAAGGACATTTTCCACGAAAACTTAAAGGGGATTAATATGCAGAATCATTGGGATGAAGCAGTTCACAATAGAACTCAATGGAGAAGAATTGTCCATTGTCCAAACTCAGTTAACAGCGACAACCAAAAAGTAAAGAGGCAACAAAGCAATGAGATTTTTGAATGTCCGGAGTGCGGTAGGCAAATAACATCACGTATCGGGCTTTTCAGTCATAGAAAAGCTCATGAAAGAAAACGCCTTGCGTGCCCATCTTTTGATGCGTGTCGAATACTCGTCAGCGAGTAATGGCAGTATGTATGTATGTATGTAGGGTACCTATTATTGGCATCGTTCGCAACTTTGCGTATACGCATCACGGGTATTGTTATATGGCTTTTTCGGAGATGCGAGATGCGGGCGATATTGAAGATGCGAGTGGTCAAGAATAGGTACCCTGTGACGGCGCTGGTTGCCGGTAAGTAGAAACCTGCCTCCACTATGTTTGTACCCTTAAGGTACGCGCACACTGACCAGAGCCGCACGCGCTGCATCGACCGAAGAAAAATATTGTTTGTGTTACTTTCAATGAAGCTGCGCACACTAGCCAGAGCCGCAGGAATCGCATCGACGAAAATGCGGCCAGTATTGTTGGGCCAAAATGATTTTCGATAAATGCGGCTAGTGCTGCTGACGTCATACGCAATTCCTTTCACTCTACGTAGGTAGCCGAAGAGGAGATTAGAATTTCGGTATGCTAAGAAAGTTCGCAAATTTTTCATGGCTCATATTGAAAAATTTTTAGTTCATCCTCAATTAAGTATGGAAATAATGTGGATTTTTGCAAATATTGTAAACCTATAACTTTTGATTCTTTCTCGTATTAAAAAAGATTTTACTTCATAATCACTAACCTCACTCAAGTAGATAAATTTAAACAACTTTCAGGTAAAAATTTAATTTCATTATAAAATTATGTTGAGTAAATAAAAGACAGAGGTATGTATTATTCGATTAGATTTTTATTTTGTAAATAGATTTACACTAAAGTTAACGATCAGGTAGAAAAGAAAATGTACACTCGTTTGTAGAATATGATTCTTTCTTTTTTTTTTCGATATATGTACTTATAATACAACCAAGAAAAACAAGAACGATGTGAGAGAGGGACTATCACTCTCTAACGAAGACGAATTCATTGTAGTGGCTCCAGCGGTTCTCTTCGGCGTCCACGCCTGGTTTCGGTTCTGCAGCGCCTCCCGCTGTTCCCGATCCACAACTACCAACCTAAACAAAGAAAAAGAACTGTAAGTGTCACACGTAAATACTACCCTATAACTTTTTTATTTTTTCAAATAGAAAACCGATATTTGGTATATTAATATATGAGATAAATTAGGATTGATTGATGTATTCGGGTAGTTTTGTTCACTTGTTTCACCAGAAATGAATACAAATTTTGAGTTTTAATGGTACCCTCACATTTTCGCTTAAAAAATTGTATTTTAAATTTTAATCTAGACTTCCACGACATTAAATTTAACAACAATTCGGAATTCCAAGTATGTGATACCACTTTATTCGTAGAAAAATGTTTTTTCCAAATATGCTAATGAGACACTCTCGTTCCATTTTAAAAAAAATAGTTATAAAAAAATGCGACTTGTGCATTTTTTAATCGGCCTGGAAACTGGAAAAGGCCCGAAAAATACGGACAAGTTATCCTTGATTAAAAATGAATGGTATTAACACAGCCATGGCAGTCTAGATACAAATTTAAAATACTATATGTCTTAATTGTAACCATTAAAAATTTTGAAATACTTTAAATACAAAAAATGTTAATTTTTTAACTCTCCATCTAATAAAAAAATAATATACAAGGTGTTCCATTTAAAAAAAAAACAAAGAAAAATTATTTTATACTTTAGAAAGTTTGGCGTAGGATTTGAACACCCTGTATGATTTAAGATTACAATATTCATAGCAAAGTAAGTATAGACCATCTAAAGTAAATACCTAATATAGTTTTGTTTTCAAGACAGTCCTTGTACTTGTAATAATTTTTTAGAAAGGTTGAACTTCCCCTAGGAGATGCAAGACCTTGTCGTTGGTGGGGAAGCTCCTGGTTAGGTGCTGGGGGGAATTCCCCTAGCGTTTGGCTTGGTCTAACAAGCATCTCACTCATCGTCTTGTTCCTGGCTGTAGTGTCGTGGCCAGGGAATGGTACCAAGACATATAACGATGCCGGACGGGGCTACCCCTGTCCGTCACACCAGGCGCCCTCTACTGACTGTGTCATGTCTCGCGGGTAGAGGGTGTGGGGGGTCTTGGCTTAATCTCCTGGACCAAAAAGAGAGACAAAAACCGCCTGGACCAAAAAAGTGAGAGAACCTCACCAAAAACCTAAATCCTACGATGGCGGGACCAGGTTAAAGGGGTGCGTGGCTAGATAGAGGACTAGCCAATACTGGTCTCAACCTTGGGGCATGAGGGGACACCCCATTGTATTTACCCCTTACATGCGGGGCTCTGTAGAAGTGGATCGACTATCCCTAGCGACTCGTGGGAACACTATGAGATCCTAGCGACACTGGGAACATTACAAATGAAAGTTCCAAGGGACCAAATCCAAAGGAAACTACAAGAGGGGCGGCTGACACTTGCTTGGGATCATCCCCCACAAGTGGCACATAAGCTACTACCTTCTCCAGCAAGGGTCGGGAGCCTACCTCTAGACCCAATAAGCGACACAAGCTACCGTTTCGTCTACCCGGCCTGGGTCAACCGCTACAGATGCCCGCCGCGCTATTTCCGAGCCCTGTATATGACCCAGACACAATATACCCGATTTACTGCACACTATATACGTACGCAAGTATATACTAACTTACAAGAGATTATGTTTTTATTTTCTCAGTAAATTTTACAGTGCACTTTATACTTTCCATCGCAGAGTATTTTCGCCTTACTTTAATAAAAAGAAGTTCGCAAGCTTTTTCGCAAAACAAGAAGTAAGATGAGACTTAAAAACGCAAACAAAACAAAATCTCCAAAGCGAGGCGATGTCGACTTAAATTTTGAAAGATTAAAACTGACGCATTTAAGTATGAATTATTGATACAGAAATAAACAATAATTGTTATAAATCAATATACGGAAATCTATAAATTTCTAAATAAAAAATTACTTACTTAATATTATATACTATACCTATTTAATATAATAACCTTATACGATTTTTTTAATAAACATTTTTAAATAAATAAGAGACAATCTTTCATTATCTTGAATACCTTTGTTATACCGGGTGTGTCTCAAAAATGGCTCACCCTATAGCTTTTTTATTTTTTTCAGATAAAAAAACGAAGTTTGGTATTTTAGTATAAGACGTAAATTAGGACTGATTGATGTTTTCAGTTGGCTTCATTCCTGTTTCACCGGAAATTACTACAACTTTTGATTTTTAAGTAGCACTCTCGGTATTTTTTTACTTTATTTGATAGAAAATGACACTAATAAAATGTGTCAACTTTTGACATTTACGTTTAAAACAAAATTGTATTTTAAATTTCAATGTAGAGTATATACCATGGCTGTGTTAAAAACACCAATTTATAATTAAGGAGCCTTGAAAAAATATATTTGATCGTCTATTGTTTATAGTGTCTCGTCCTGGACGATTGAAACAGACCCAAATTCGTATTTCGAGTCAAATTGTCGTTATGAATCGCACGTTGCAATTTCAAATAAACCATATTCGAAAATGTCAAAAGTTGACATATGACATGTAATTTTATTCAGAGTGTCATTTTCTATCGAATAAAGTAACAAAATACCGGGGGTGCCATTTAAAAATCAAAAGTTGTAGTCATTTCCGGTGAAACAGGAAGTGACCGAAAACAATTGAATACGTCAATCAATCCTAATTTTTGTCATATACTGACATACCAAATCTGGATTTTTTTATCTGAAAAAATAAAACATTTTATAGACGCACCCGGTATAATATGCAGAAAATAACAGAAAATACAATTTGCTTCTGAATTAAAATGACAGTCACAACTGTTACTGTCAGAAATATTCTCATTGGCCAGAATATACATTTAATATTATTTGTCTGAGGGTATAACCACAGCTTAAGTAAAAACTATAACCACTACCAAGGTTTACCGATGTCAAGGATGGAGAGCTGGCCTCTGTGGAGCCGTCTTAGATACTGGCTTTTGTTAAAGCCTTGAGACTGTATGATGAGTTATAACTCGTTATAACTCAAGAAAGGGGAACACACAATAGATCTGTGAAGTCGCGGTGATTAACTCCCCTCCTAAACATTCTACATTCTACAACCACTACCGAACCAGAAAAATCCTATAAATATTAAATGGCAAATCACACTATAAAATGTACAGATTAGCGTAAACCTATTTATATCTTAGTAGTTTAAATTTGAAAAAAAAGTATAGATATACAGGGTGATTGAAATACCATATGATCGAAAAAAACGGCGTCGACTGGGCATGAAAATGACAATCGATGACAATTCCCATATAATTTTACATATAAAATGACAGCGCTTTTTATTTCATAGCCATCACCAACGCCGTTTTTTTTTTGATCATATGGTATATTTTATAGAAAAAATGTAGGATTTGAAATAAATTTTTCAATTTGGTAAAATTTAAATTATAAGTATACATCCCTAGATTGCCTTTACAAGAGGAAACTTTTTTATTATTGAGATTTTGAGAAAAATGCATTCTTCATAATAAATTTTTGCTTGTTATAAAATGGTTAGTTAACCCATACAATCTACAATCTACAACTGTTGTATAAATTGTGTAGTTCAATGAATGAATAGTTCAGAATATTCCATTATTATACAGGGTGTTTCAAAACAAATGCAAAAAACTTCAGGGGGTGATTCCTTGTTCAAAATAAAGGGTAGTTTGCTTCATAAATGTTGGATCAAAAGTCAACCATTAGGGAGATATCGCGGTACAAAGATGGCGGAAAAATAATGTTTTTATTTTTTATTTTGAAAACGAAAAGAGATAGACTAATAACATTTTATGGAAGCATTTCTGTTATGAAAACACACTTTCTGGTAATTTTTTCACTTTTTTAAAATGAGTGGAAGGGGTTGAAATAACCTACCCCTATCATTCTTGTTAACGAAATTTAAAGAATAATCTTATCAAACATATGCAAAAAAATTAATTTGGATAGTTTAGTTTGTTTAGAAACTTTTTTATCTCTTGTATTTTTTTGATAAAACTCACCGATTTGAAATTAAAAAATAAAATGTAAAGCATTACATGTCAGGACAAAAAACATTTTCTGATAAAGAATCTAGCGGGCTGCTGTAATTTTTTTAGGAAAAAATCTAGCTGTTACTTTTTAGGATGTTCCTAATATTATTTTATTTGACATTACTCTACTGCAATACGTTATTATCTAGACGATTATTATTATCGTTATTATCACTAGATTCTTAATCTAAAAATGTTTTTTGTCCTGACATGTAATGCTTTACATTTTATTTTTTAATTTCCAATCGGTGAGTTTTATCAAAAAAACACAAGAGGTAAAAAAGTTTCTAAACAAACTAAACTATCCAAATTAAAGCATTTGGATGTGTTTGATAAGATTTTTCTTTAAATTTCGTTAACAAGAATGATAGGGGTAGTTTATTTCAACCCCTTCCACTCATTTTAAAAAAGTAAAAAAAATACCTGAAAGTGTGTTTTCATAATAGTAATGTTTCCATAAAATTTCATTAGTCTATCTCTTTTCGTTTTCAGGATAAAAAATAAAAACATTATTTTTCAAGCAAACTACCCTTTATCAACAAAGAATCACCCCCTAAAGTTTTTTGCATTTGTTTTGAAACACCCTGTATATAATATCATGTATCTAGTTGGCAAAGGAAAGTGGTATCTAACTATTTAAAGTGTAAAGTAAAAAAATTGCTTCACTCACCATTTTGAAGCCTTGTTCCTGAAGCATATCGAACGCCTGTTCCAGGAAGGAGTGTTTAAGGAAGAACCTGGAAGTGTAACGTTCCGCTTGGCCGTGATCAGGATCCCTGCTTTCGTTAAGTGTTTCCCCGAACACTTCTCTGCAGAGTGCAGCTCTGCCACTGACCAGAATCTTTGAGAGTTTTCGGAATTTGACATCTGCCAGACCGTCTTTGCCAAATTGAAAGCTTCCTCTGTATCCTACTGTGATCACACCTGAAATAAATTAATATATGTTAAAGCATATACGTATAAAATTAAAAAAATAGAAAATTTAAATCCATCATTAAAAATGTAACAAATTAATTTATTATTTTATTTAATGGTAAATAAACAGTCCACTCGACGTTTTAGAGTTCTAATTATCGCGCGCGTCTTCCTATTGTGGTTGCCAGCCCACCAAGGTATAGAAGACAATGAAGAAGCAAACGATCCGGCTAGAAAAGGAGTTAAAAAGAGTCTTAAGTCTCCACTAACTGGACCAGCACTGTAAGATTAGTTTAGGTTCCTAGAGGCTGTCGGCCTAATCCACTGCAACCTTCTCAGATCTATTGTGGTCCTCTTCTGATCCTTAGGTTACATTCTCTAGTCCTATCCTTTTCACAAAGTTTACAACTTGGAGACTGAATCCTCCATGTAGGTCCCTGGCAATGGCCTATCATTGCCTATAACCGAGAACCGCAAATTGGCAGAACCTACATATAGCTTCGTCCGTCAATCCCATTATAGAACGAGAGCTAGCAACGTCGAGAAAACAAGTATTTTAAGAAAGCTGGCTCTTTAACGTATTGTTTACTATGCTCTCTGGAACAGCATCCGCCCCGTCGCGCGTCCGGCTGCCGGTAAACGTTGCGTTCCGTACTGCGCGTTGAAAGAGGATCCTATATTTTTTATTAGTCCCTTAAATTCTAGTATTGAATATAAACCGAGCGCATCTACATAGCGCAGCGCGTAGAGGTTCCGCCTATGAAGCGAGGAGTGAGAGTTCGAGACCGGGTCAGGGCAAAAACTTTTTTATTTTATTTTCGTTTATATTCTGATAGTAAAGTATTAAATATTTGTTTTTTTGAATCACCAGAATTATTTAATACTTTACAATCAGAATATAAAGGAAAATAAAATAAAAAAGATTTTGCCCTGACCCGATCTCGAACTCTGAATCCTCGGTTCGTAGTCGGAAACTCTACGCGCTGCGCTATGGAGAGTTGTTCGATTTATATTCAATACTAGAATTTAACTAGACTAAATAAAAAAAATAGGGTGCGCAGTACGTGAACGCAAAGGGTATCGGCAGCCAGATGGGCCGCATGCTGTTCCAGAAAGCATAATAAAAGATATATCAAAGAGCCAGCTTTCTTAAAATACTTTCTCGAAAACGTTGCTAGCTCTTAGACTATTATATAGCTTTAGCTGTCTATTCAGCTTACAATGCCCTGTTAGTAGACCCACTACAGCTTTGACTGTCTTTCTGTCTTTGCTTATCAGGTCCACCGTGAATTTTGGCGAATGTTTTACAATGAATTTTTTCGCCTGTCTCTGCCCTGGTGCGTTTCTCCACCATTCTAGAGATTTGTTGGCCACCAATCGTTCCGTGGTCATTCTCGTGACTTTGATGGGCCTTGCCTTTTTATCTGCCTGTTCGTCACCCTTGTGACCCTCGTGTCCTGGTACCCATGCTAACGTAACAATGCTATGCTCACCCAAAGTATTCAGAGCAGGCACACAGTCCCACACTAGTCTAGAATTGACCTCCGCGGATCCGAGTGCCTTTAGCGCTGCTTGGCTGTCCGTAAAGATGGCCATAGAGCTATGTGTTCTTTGTTGCTTTAATATTTGTTCTACGCAATAGTGGATTGCCGTTATTTCTGCCTGGAAAATTGTGACCTCCTTAGACTTGCGTAGAAAGATCTTCCTTGTCTCGGCATTACTATTCCAGCTCCTACGTCTTCCGACTTTTTAAGCTATCTATATACCAGGTTGCCTCAGCTTGAATGGGTACACCTTTACTCCAATCTTCCCTTCCTGGTTTGGTTATATTAAATTTGTTGTTCAAGCTATACCTTGTAGCTGTTGAATCAAGTAATGGTAATCCCAATACTTTGCCTGCTTTCAGCTCTTCGATTAGCTTCTGGTTAACAGCACTATGCGTCTGGCTTATGTGCTTCTGACTGTGAATTAACCTGTGCATAACAGATCTGGCTTCGCCTTGTACTAAGGGCTAGCAAAGGTTAGTCTTGGGTTCAAGATTTCCGTATGTACGAAGAGTACAATACGTTTATAATGTACCGAACAAAGAGAGAACAGTAAACACGTTGCCAAAGGAAGGGGATATAGCAGGTTTGTCGCAGTTGACCGGTCGACCCAATCAGTACCTCTGTCGGTACTTAAAGTTCTAGGGAAAGGTGTTCATCATGCGTTCAGCTTCACGATTTAATTACGTCTCGTGATCCTTTATTTGTTTATTTGTTAACGAGTCGTAGTAATTTTCCCTATAGCTTAAAAATTTTTAAGTGCAAATTAGAAACACTTTTCTTATTTAATCATATTGTAAAAGATCGGATTTTCAAAATAAAAAAAAGTTTCAATATCTGAAGTGGTTCTTAAGTTATGGCGTGTTATGTGTTAAAAAGTTGAGTTTTTAAATTATTGCGATTACTGACGTTTTCTCGTTATAAAAAAATGGACTCTCTAACGATATTCTCATAATTCCATTTCAGATGCTCAGAAAAATATTTAATAATTTTATCTAGTTATTTTTTTCGAAAAAAATGTCTTTTAAAAATAAGCGGTTTGCGATCGTGATTTTACTTTACAGGGAAAGGCGTACCGGAGAAAGGTGGCAACGCGGCAACACCACACTGTCGCATTTCTCTCATTCCGACTTAATAAGATCCCTATGCGATTTACTTCTACACATGTAAATACCGACCCAAAAGTAACAGTTGCCAGCACGGTATGAAAATATGTAGTGGTGGTAAGTTCAACAAGACTTCCATCGCATTTGTGGGAGTGGTGTGGTTTGGCTTGGGAAGCACCGTTCTGCTTCCCAAGTGGAAACTAAGTTAAAGCGGTAATCAAGAATCTGGAAAACCCCATCCGTAACCTGGAATGGTAATCCTCCATTGGTCTAAGACACTCGACGAAATTTCTCAGGATTTACGACCAAGGTAAATGAAAGATCGAAAAAATAAAGGAAATCAAAGATTATCCAAGATTTTCCTTCATTTAAGTAAGAACAATCTTCGGATTGTCACGGGCTTTTTAACAAGACACTGTCTCCTCAATCAAAACCTCAGTAGATTGCAGCTAAGAAATAACGGCGAATGCATATCCTGTTGGGAAAATGGGGAAACCAGAACACCTCATCACTAAGTGCCCCGAAACGACAACCATTCGTGCCAATGGTGGGTGTGTCAATTTCCCCCATTTTAGCTGTGTATTTTTCAACACCCTGTATATTTCTTTCAAAAACATCACTGATTAAAAACAGAACAAAAAACCTAGATTGATATTCGAGATTTATTACACGCTATATTCCTTTTCCCTCAAAGACTCGAGCTTCATTATATTTTTTCCGCTTTTTCCCATTCTTTCAAGTTCTTGAGATTCCGACATCATCTTCAGAATCGATTTGCTGTCTGGCGAAAAACGATTCCAACGAATTTCTTCTCTCGCAATAAAATGGGTCAGAGAAATTACTGCCGTTTTCCACACACAGTGAAAATGATATTTTTTCTAAATTACATTTTCACGCCTTGATATCTCATTTCCTAGCAATATCAGATTCATATTTAGTTCTTATATAAAAAAATATAGATATTTGTTACTAGATATGTTTCTTAATGCCTGGTGAAGATTACTTGTAAAATTTTAAGAATGTGTATTAATTTATATAAAAATATTTTGTACTAAAAAAACTTGATAGAGTTTTTTCGAGTTCCTTTGGCGTATATTGGCCTTTTGATTTTCTGGAAAGATCGGGATATATATCTAAAATATAGGTATCTAGAAAGCTACATTTTGGTTTAAAGCAACCAATTACTAATTCAATTGCACATATTTTTACGTTTTATTGTTTTATTCTATGTTGTCTGTACCATTTACTTTTTATTTTTACAAAATCAATGTCTGTACTGTTAGCATATACAATCTGTCTATAAACGTGTTGTTTAATAAAATGTCAAATATTGTACCGAACTAAAACAGCAGGTGATACGCCGCTAAATAGTCTTTGATGCTGATGCGGCTTGAAAGCTAAATTTCTTCTTCTTCTTCTTCTTTCTATACCGGGTGCGTCTCAAAAGAGACTCACCCCTAAAACTTTAATATTTTTTCAGATAAAAAAACGAGATTTGGTATGTTAGTATAGGACACAAATTAGGAGTGATTGACGTATTCAATAGTTTTTGGTCACTTCCTGTTTCACCGGAAATTACTACAACTATTGATTTTTAAATGACACCCTCGGTATTTTTTTGCTTTATTCAAGGAAGGAGCATATCAAAAATCTTAGGTACACCGCGATGGGCCTCAAATATGGCCGACTTAAATTCCGGTTTATTAGTGTCGTTCTAATTTTATTTAAAAAATGTAAAACTATGATGTAGGGTAGACGTGGGGTAGACTCAATAATTTGTTGTTTTATTTTACGTTGTGAATAAATGTTGGTAGTTATTAAAATTGTTATAAAAATATATAATTCTAATAAAAATAGATAAGTTATAATAAGTATTTATTACAACAAACATCCGATACGCTACTGAAGCAGGTAAGTCAAATTAACGTATCTAAATTCTTTGACATCTAATCTTTGACAAGTAATAAATAAAAGCTAAAATGCAAGAAAAATATATAATTTAGTTAATTTAAGTGAATTTCATAAATGATCGGTTTACTACACGTATGTATATTATATAGTCACTTACTAGCGAACAGTTGTTCCATTATTTCACTCAATTTTTGCCGAGAGATCTACCGCACGCTACACAACCAACTATTTTAGAGTCTTTTTCGATAAATCGCGATAGTGTCACTGTTAATTTAATTGCTGCCACAATTTCCATCTAGATTTACTACCTTTATACAACTATCAGTAGTAGGATAAATAATAAATAACATAAAATAAGCTCCCTAAAGACTGACAAGACCACAAAATTTCAAATCAAATTCAAATGTGTCAAATGAATCGTCAAACAGAACTGTCAAGGATCCCCACC